ATAGACCAATTAAATCAATAGGATTTACACAGGAGTTGATTTACTATGCAACAGCTGATTCAGGCCCCTTCTACACAGCCATATAAAATTCAGGTTATCTGCTTTGAACTGGATTATATGACAGTATAGACTCATATAATCCAGTTCAAATAGATAATGTGGATTATCTGCTTTGAAAATTTGGATTATATGGCAGTACAGAAGAGGCCTTACAAGCAGATACCCAATCTTATATATAGAAAATGTTAGTCATGCTGAAACCTCTTAAATTATGTGTTGTTACAATAAAAACCATTCCCTTTTTGTTACATATGTAGAAACTATGCACCAAAAAACCCTGTATTGTTTGGCTTGTAATGCTTGCAAAGTAAATGTAGGGTTATCTTCCGATAATAGCTCTACTCTTCAATTCCTAAAGATTTGGGCTGCATTCTGTTCAGTATTTATGATGTTGTAAGTAAGACTTAAGGGGCTCATTAATTTTGATATTTAATTCATGGACCACTGCCACGACTGCAAAGAAGCCACCCACCTTAAAATACTGGCAGCTGCCCCACCTGAAGGAGTTCTTTAGTGCTGGTGAGTGGGGCTAAAGGATGTTGTGTCTAGTCTCCTCCTGCTAGTGAGCTGCAGTGTGACAAGCAATTGCAGCAAGTCCCTGCTGCAGCTCATTTTGCCCTGCTTGCTGGGGGAAGGTTATTACAATACTGTGGACTGAAAATGTCAATCTACAGTTAAGTGGAACAGTTCTCTCTTTCCTCCCTATATTACGCAGGAGCCCAGTACAATGGAGGCAAAACTCCCCAATGCAATATGAAAACTTGACATATATTGACTCAAGTACCTCATGGCTACAGGGCCAGTATAGTAGGCTCTCAGTAATCATTGGGGTTTAGTTCCAGGACTTTGTGTACTGCAGCATCCTGATAAAATGTGAGCTGTTATTACTATGCACAATTCATTAGATAGGAAACACGTGGATGATATAGTTCTCAAACTTTTTCTCTTTCCTCCCTATGCTACACATGAAAGGATTTGTTGGAATTGACTGTGGATGGATGTGCACTCATCTCAAATATATGAGCATTTAGGAACAGCAGTTCTTCAGAACTCCTCTTTACCAAAAAGAACACCAGTGCAGTACTAAGGCACCTGAGCTATTTCATAAAGTGTGGAGCAGAATTCACAAACATTGCTATGTTAGCTTGATCTTGTAACCCCTACGAAACTAACTCAGGTTTCTTCTACATTGCCATATAACCCAGTTTATCTAAACAGATAATCCAAATTATCTAATTTGAACTGGATTATATGGGTCTACATTGCCTCATAATCCAGTTCAAAGCAGATAATCTGGATTTCAAATGGCCATGTAGAAGTGGCCACATAGAAGATTACAGCATAAGTTTTGGAGACTGAACTCTATATCACTAAATATAATAACATCAATAGTATTGTTTCCTTTAAGGAAGTTGGTAAATATTCTAGTAGTGTTTTCTTCTTCTTCTCTATCATATGTGTGTCTTTTGTTGAAAAGACTGACAGTATACATATGACAAAACAGCCATTATCCTAATGATGCATCTGATGAAGCAGACATCAGTCTATGAAAGCTTAATGCTACTAACTTCTTTGTCTTAGGCCCCTTCTACACTGCCTTATACAATCCAGATTATCTGAAATGGGTTATATGGCAGTGTAGATGCATATAATCCAGTTCAAAGCAGATAATCTGGGTTTTATATGGCAGTGTAGAAGGGGCCTCAGTTAGTCTCAAAGGTGCTATAAGATTCCTTTGCAAAGTGTAGCACTTAATTGATTTACAGGTTTATCCCTGGAAAATATTTTGAGGAGTTCCATAAAATTTCTTTTTTGTAAACTGACTCCAACTATCATATACCTAAAAATCCAATCTCTACCTTTCACTGTGAAATTAAAACCAGATCAAGTGATACTAGAAAAATATCATAATTTCCTTTAAATCCTCAATGGCATCTGTTCTACAATCCAGAAGTTCTCCCAAATATGGGACCACTTGATATATATTGACTCAAGAATCTCACTGACTCTCAATATTCACTGAGGTTTAGTTCCAGGAACCCTATGAATATCAAAATTTGTGGATGCTCAAGTGTCAAACAACAAATCTCACTGTAAAGAACCACCAGGAAAACACCGTTAGGTTGGTGTGACAATGGATCAGGCCCATGGCAGCTAAACACCATATGTGGCTGATCTGGCTTAATCTCAGGGAAGGCTGCCTTATCAAGTTACCTGACTGTCATCCCACAGTCCTCAGGCTCAGGAGGTCTAGGAATGTGAGACCCCTAGGGTGGCTGCTAGCTGGGCAGTAAGGCCTCCTGAACACCTCTGGGGCAGCTTGAAGCAGCCCAGTCTGGCTGCTTCAAATATAAGAACAGATCTGAAGTTTGCATGCTGCCTAAGAAATCCCACATGCGAACAAAAGTATTTTAGGATGCCTGTTCTTCTCAAAAGCTCTTTGTTGATGAAACCTGTAGGGAATCTTTCTGAGATAGTATATGTGATGATGACCTTGTTTGTGTTAGCCAAAACTATGAAAATCCACACAATTTGCTCACTTTGTTCAGAATTTACACTATTGGCTTAGCAGGCAGTGGTAATATCTCTTAAAGGTAAAGGTAGTCCCCTGACATTAAGTCCAGTCATGTCTGACTCTGGGGTGTGGTGCTCATCTCCATTTCTAAGCCGAAGAGCCAGCGTTGTCCGTAGACACCTCCAAGGTCATGTGGCCGGCATGACTGCATGGAACGCCGTTACCTTCCCGCCGGAGCGGTACCTATTGATCTACTCACATCTGCATGTTTTCGAACTGCTAGGTTGGCAGAAGCTAGGGCTGACAGCGGAAGCTCACACCGCTCCCCGGAATCGAACCTGCGACCTTTCGATCAACAAGCTCAGCAGCTCAGTGCTTTAACCCACTGCGCCACCGGGGGCTCCAATATCTCTTATTTGCTATAATACCTTATTTGTGCGCTTCCTGCAACTGCCTGAATGTGATGTATAAAAACCTGGCAGGTAGAACTTTTACTGGCACGGAGGAAAGTGGCATCAAAAGGCTACAGTATTATGTTTCTTCATTAAAAGGAATAGGAAAAGTACCAAGGGAAGTGGAAGTCCTAACAGCAGCTGAGCAACTTTGTGCAGAACTGCAGTTTCTGTTCTGAAGAGTGAATGAACAAGACAGGCTTTTTCAGATGAGTAGGGAATTCTGTGCCCTTGCCCTTGTTCTGACTGATCAGATTGAATTAGTAAGGGCTTTAGTACTGCTAATCTGCAGGACAGTCCAGAAGCTCAGTGGTTACTTCTTTAAGTTTCAAATGTTAGCATTATTCCCTTACGCTGAAGAGAAGACTGTTGTGACCTAATTTTGTGACTTTGAATGAAACTGTGTGGCTTCTTTAAGGACAAAAGGCTGCTTTCTGATTTGTCTTGGGGATGTCACTTCACATTTTTGTTTGACCCAGTGCCAGGGATGAGAAGTCTTCATCAGTTCATCAAGAAATAAGCCCTTTAAAAAGCAAGATGAAGCAGTTCTGTAGCTATGTTGGGATGCTGTGACACACAGATAATCCTTATGATTCTATTAAGTATGCTTATAGATTTCCCCCCTATTAGCTCTAATATTGTTTCACTGACCAGAATTTCCTCTACTAATATCAATGATGCTGACATAGCCAAATTTCAAGACATAAGACTGCAGACGAAGCAGCAAATGGTTTATTTTCTGCAAAGTTTAATTAATACATGAAAATTGCTATGTTTTAGGATTTTTGCATAGTCTGGCTGCTAATAACTAGAGATTAAGGAGAAAGAAAGATTTGTCGTTTGATGTTTTTATGAAGAGGCTAAAGATCTGTCTAGGATTTAGATCACCCTCTAAGAGGAAAATGAGGATAATGCATCCTGCTAGGCAAGATAACAAATCAAAACATTCTCCCTCAAAAAAGAGAATTGAATCCCCCCCCCCCTTTAGTTGACCTTTGGGATAGTAAAGAGAAGCAGTCATCTACATAGGTCACATTCTGCTCTTCCTCATCCCTGTGGAAATCTGACATAGTATTCAAAGAAACTTCAATGATATGATAGATATGGCTCTTTATTTACCTATTGTGGCCAGCTGTGCAATGCCATTAACAACCTTCCAGTTCAGTTACTGTTGAAGTGACAAAATTGTTGGTCACTGAAAATATCAGGTTATCTGAAAGTGTTGTTGGGTACACTGTGCTACCTCCTTCAAAAATACCAGTCCCACTTCTGAGTTCCTTTATATTCTGCTTTCAGAAAGAATCGGATAAAGAAACAAGAAGTCTTGGTCACATAGAAGCAGGGATTAGCTGTGTAATATCAAACTAAGTGGGATGAGATTTTCAAGCAAAATGTTATACTTTTTTTAGTTTTCAGAGTCTCATGCCATCAAAATCATACTGGTCTGGGCCAAACCTAAGCTTTGTAGCAGCTAAGGATGGAACCTTCTCCCATTTGTAAGGGAGCAAGAAATGGGCTTCCCTAGATACACTGGAATGAAACTGGAGGAGTTAAGGCCGAACCTTGTTGTCTTCTTCTCAGCATGAGATGTGGGAAGCCAAGCAGTAGCACAGCAGCAAGGGAAGTGGTACAGGGCTGCAGAGCAGAGAAAGGGTGATTTGCCTGTGCACTCAGATTAAAGACTTACAAGCATATATACATCACCCAACACTAAGGGTGGGGGTGTCAGTGTGAGAACAGGACTGTGGAACCGCGTACGCATGTGCTGTGTAAATAGAGGCATGACAGGTTTGTGCACATGTGTATGGTGGAGGACAAACTGGGGAAGGTATGTGCTTAAAGCAAAAGGTAAAGTGGCAAGTTATAAAAGAGTATTTAGAAGATGAAAGGTGTCCACAGGGAAAAGGGCAGTAGGGTTGTCATGTCATTCAGTGAGGGCTGGAGAGAAGAGAAGGTGGAAAGGAAGTTCTTACCACATTTGGAAAGTCTCCCAGTCATCAACTCCATACAGTTAGTGGTGTCTAGATTATAAGAATGGAAAAAGGAGGGAGGGAAGGAAAATATAAAAAGTGGTTTCCACAGCTCTGTTTATAAGATAGTAATGCAGCAAAATGATTTCCTGGAGCAGAAAGAATATACGGGTTTGACATTATCACAAGATTTTTTTCCTGACTGCTATAAACAGCTTTTGAAATCAGTTACTTCGCATTGTACACATAATATCTGTACCATAGTGAATGTCCAAAAAATTGACACTAGTAACTTTCATATAATGTAAGTCACATTATCGGGCTCAAACAATTTGTTGAATGTCAAACAATTCAGAATGTTGAATGTCACCTAAATGTGATCCTCAGCATCCACTGAACACACACATCCCAGACATTCATACATTCTCAGGATATAATTGACATTCACATTGCAAAACATAAAACAAAAAATTAACCATTTTTATGACTCTATTCCCATACAGAAATCCTTGGGAAGGGCTAGTTCAGATGCAAGAATCAGAATGATACTCTGAGCACTAAAGAACATCAATAAATACCAGGTGCTGCAGGCAATACTTCAGAGAAGGGGACTGGCAAAATTGAGTATTATTTGCCTAAGAAAACTCTATGAATTCCACAGGATTATCATAAGCCAACAGGTGACTTGAGGACATATACATACACACAGTGCTATGACCACATCCCTATAATGAAAAAGTTGTACATTTAACTTGGTTCATCTCATGGACCTATTATACACCTACTCTCATGCCCACTGCAAATGGTGTCTCAGAAAGAAAGAAAAAGAGAGGGTATTACTGCCATAGGCAACATCTTGAGATGTTTTTACATAGAAATAAGTCCCATACAGCAGAGGTTCTGCTTCTATTATAGTTAATTCTCCAATTAGCAGGCTTTCAAGTCTTGCTAGTACAGATCACACAGCCATTCTTCTGAAACTTAATCCTGGTAACCTGTCATTCCAGCATAAGATCAAAGAGCTACATTTCATTTTATTTGCTCACACAAAGGAAAATGTGAGTACAGTATATTCTGGCGTATAAGACTACTTTTTAACCCAAGAAAATCTTCTCAAAAGTCAGGGGTCGTCTTATACGCGGCTGTAGTCTTATGCATGGGAGTCGTCTTAACTCTATATTTTAACTGGAAAAGTTGGGGGTCGTCTTATACACCCAGTCGTCTTATATGCCGGAATATACGGTAGATATAGTTTGCAAAAGAAAGCAAAGTAGCTCATTTCAAAAGAGACATAATTCTTTAAGAGTTTCTGGTGGTAGCTGACTGTATTCGTATTTTTGGGTTAAGTTACACATGGCACTAAAATGCTTGTAGCAAAGGACATATTGTTTTTTATCTTAAAGAGAACAAGCCTTTGGAAAGGAGGACACATAGAGTTGAGAAATATGTGGGGAGCAGTGCTTCACCCTTTCCTCACCTACAACACCCCCTCTCACAGATTTTTTTCCTTCCTATGGAACAGGAAGGCAAAAGGTTCTAAAAGCAAAAAGTAGAGATAAGAGAAGCCCTCATATATGAATTTGATATGGGCCAAATCTTTTCGAGCACTTATACTGCATTAATCGAAAATGCACAGACTTCTGGTCAGAATCCTTCAAAGCTAGAAAGACAACCCATCAGAATATAGACTTTCTTCATAACCATCCAATTGCTTATAATTCATTTTGATTCTTCATAATATTTAGGAGATTAAGGATAACATTTCTAAAGTAATTGCTAACACAGGTTATTTTCAACATTTTTGATAAAATTCCAATTTGAAGTGGGAAACATATAGTCTTACACACATAATTGGATTGCAACTCAGATCAGCACTACCTAACATACCCAATAATGTTTGGTGATAGAAGCTGGTGTTTAACATTTGAGGCCCAAACAATCCTCATGCTTATTTTTAGATTTTTTAAAAATTCAAAATGTTTGTCTCCTTCTGTTATCATCATAACAGAGCAACATTCACTACTTTCAACAATGTTATCACACTGAAGTGGTTGTTATTTCACTAATATAAATGGCTGTTGATCACCTTCACAAAATCTAATAATTATCATCATAATCACAAATGTATGCATTACTTTAAATCCGGCTTCCAAAATTCATCAATAAGAGCTTAGGAACACCCAGAGAAACTGTGCTATCCAAATAATTCAAAGTAACAATGGCAATAAAGCCACTGGTCCGAGGTAGAGACATACATCCCTATGCCATTTTGGGGTCAGGTGTCTTCCATGCTTGGACCACAGGCCACCTTTGAGTAATTATTTTAAACGTGGTAAACAGTACAGAAGTTGATGTAATACATACATAAAACATTCTATTTAAATCACTCACGTCTATTGATTTCTGTAGGTTCTGAGCTTTTATTTATTTAAGAATTAGATACACCCCAGTCCCTTCCACTTTGTGAATTAGAAGCATTCTAGCAGCGATGGTTGAATATAACAAGTCTCTAAAAAGGACTAATTGTTTAAATGTTAAGGGGAGAGGAGCAAAGCAACAGGAAAGGTATGCATAAAAATAATCTTGGAGGAAGGGATCTGGGGAAAAAAGAGGTAGGACTGGCAGGACTGTAGGCAGTAGATTCAAAGATTATTCCGTGTGAAGAAAGGGCCTGTAGTTGAGAACTTGACTAAGAAAGGAGAAGCATCTACCTGAACCTCTATCCATGTACATGTATCAGTATTCATATTTGTGCCTATATTGCCAAAAACAAGAACTTACAAGAAATGACTAGATTTCATTGTGTAAAATGTTAATTCTGCAAAATTGTATTTTGTATCAATGGAACACAGACAAATTCATAGAAGACAAGGCCGTGAATGGCTACTGTTCATTTTGGTGCCAGGTTCAGATGAGGTACATTTCTAAATATCTCTAGGAGCAAAGGACCATGTTCTCCTTATTTCTTATAGCCTACCAAATAAATATCTGGGTGGCCACAATGGGAGACAGGCTACTAGATGAGATAGGTCACTGATTTAATTTTATGTAGCAGACATTATGCTATGCAAATGCTAGTGTCTGGCGAAAATAACCCAGTGACATATTCATGTAAAGTGGGATTTTTGATGAAGATTTCCAAGAACTAGAACTATCCCATAATCCAGCCTCAAGTCAAGAATAGTAAAGCATGCAACTAAAAAAAAAAGTAAAGTGAACTGGACCATTTTGACCCACAGGCACCACTTTAAAATGCTTCTGCAAATGAAAATTCCCACAAGTGGATAATAAGAACATCAGGGAGATAGTTTCTAGTCTAGCTCTTTCCTTGCCACACTGAACTTCTCACAGAGGTTTATCTAAAATGTGGAGGCTCATTCAAAACTGTAATCCCTTACTTGTAGCCTAAAGTCGTGCAGTCTGTTTTGTCACTTTCAAACTCTACCACTTCATTCTGCTACATCCAAACTCACATAATCTCTTATGATCAACTTGTGCTAAAGAAACATGCACATAAGACACATTTGGGGCTGTGCAACTTTGGAATGATCCAGGGCCATCCGTGGCTGTCAAACGGACCATCATAGGTCCTTGCCTTGTATTTCATCACTAGCTACAATATGAAGCAGCATGCATATTTAGCATTGGCTACTCAAAGGTGTTCATCACAATAATGTCTCATCCCTCCATAAATCTGAGTTACAAGAGATGTGCATATTTCACTATTTACACACTGAAAACTTCTTGTTATGTTGAAGGATGTGAATTCCTTTCAGGAATTGCACCAAAAAAGAGATCAGGGGACTTCTCCTTCCTGTCAGATAATGATCGACCAATTCCTATTTTCATTCAAATTATATTAAATCTGCAGTCAAAGAAAGCAAAAACATCACTCTCTAGGAAAACCAGACTATTTGAGTTACTTGCTCCACTAACAAACAATTGAAGATTTGTGAACCTCTAGCATTCCAGTTGAATTGGTAGCACTGAGGCAGGGGGCTGGATATTATCTGGGTATTATCATTAATAAGGACTTCAAACAGTGGTCTAGGGAAGAGGTGAAAACCAACTCCCAACAGAGAAAACAAGTCATTTTGAACTCAAAACTCTCTTGAAATTTGGTCCTTTTGGACTACTTTTGTAACATTTACCTGGTACTTATCAAGTTCAAATGAAGTGCTTTGAGGCAGTTCCTAATTTCTATCGAGTACAATACCACTATCAATATTAAGCAGAGTACAATATCACCCTTTATTGGCTGTTTAGATCTAAAGTCATTTCAAATCATCTATGACTTTTGTAACTGATATTTCCAGGCCCACATTAAATTAGTACATTTTTTGTTTTCACCAGTAACAAGTTTAGGGGAAATGATACCAACAGCCTCTGCTTAGACATTCTTTATGTTTGCTCATTTAAATGATACTTTTATTCCCCAAACACAGATACTGAAAATGGTTGTCCTGCAAGAAAATACTGTTTTTCATAAATGAGAAAAACAGTACTTGCAATCACTTAGCAGATTGTGGAGACCTACATATGAGTAAAATAGTTATACAGGCTTTATCCTTATCTCACAGAGCATACAAAATAGCTAATCAAAGCAATAACTATTTTGATTTGCCCAAGTACAGAGATATGGCACAAGTGAACCTTTTGGACCTGTTTTAAGGATTTCAGTGCCAAACCTACAGATGCATAACTGATCATAAAGGAAGGCTGACAATTTGGGAACCAGCTATTGCAACTATCCTCTAACATTAACGAAACAGGAGATTGTGTTGCAGTCCAGCTTGCTGTCTAATTCTTCTCTAATTGGTCTGCTTGCCCTACTCACCAACTGCTGGAACAAATGGGGCTTTAATACAGCTCCACAGCCAGTAAGAAAACAAAGTAACAAGAAGGACTAGGAAGGAAATAAGCAGGAGATAAGGTGGAAGCAAAATCTCTGGTGCATTTCTACCATCACAGGTAAAGTCAGATTCTCTGTTCTACAATGTAATCATAACATTGCTAAAAGGTGGAGCTTGCAACCGTGGCTGAGAAGTTTGAAAAGCACCACAAACATAAAACAGGAGAGGCAGGAAATTCACTGCCAAGATGGAATTATGGTTTATTTAATATTGTCATTTACTGAAAGAAATATGCAGACAGACAATTCCTTTCCAGAGGAGAAGCAACTTGAGGAAAGGAATCAATTATGACAACAGAAGTGGCATTGGTGAGTGGGTGGAAGGAACATCACTTTTTGCTAATTGGTATAGACTCTTACTGTGGCTCTACACCTGAATAGAATGTATTGAACATTCAAGTGAACAAATCATAGCTTTTTCTTCAATCTAGGCAAGTATGATTTCCTTTTAAAAATCAGTTATCCATAGACTAAAGGATTTTGATACACAATAAATATTAACAAAGGCAGAATTCTCTGTTTCCACTCTGGAGCTCATGGATGAGTATGAAGATTGTCAGAGGAGCAATAATTTCAAAGCATGGATTGCCTGTGTTTCAGGGAGATCAGTATTCAAGTGCCTTAATGCTGAATGGCATTCACATAAGACTTCCATAACTTCATTTGTCTGTGCATATGGGCTTGTTCCAGTTTGTTTTATATCAAAAGTAATAAGCAGAGTGAGTCCCAAGAAGCAGAAATGAGGATGAGAATGGAAGAGACTAACTGGAATATGCAGGTATGGCACAAGAACACACCACTGAAATGAGATACGCGTACGTACATACATACATACACACACACACATGTACACATACAGAAAGAAAGACTACATATCTATCAATATTGGCGTGAGCTTTCAAAGAATGAGAGACAACAGTTCTGTTCCGAAACCCAGGCAAGCCATTATACTGGGCTGGCCCATAGCTCAGCAGACCAGGCAGGATCAGGAAAGATAGCAAGCATCACCTCCACAACACTTCAGGTCCATGCTGGTGACTGAACAGGAGAGATGTTCACAGATGGGTCACCCAGTTGTAGGGCATATCTGTTGTAACACATTGTGTTAGATTTTCCCTCTCACAATGCATAAACATTTTTCACATGAAAGGTGCCAAACACTCACCTGTACTGGCACCTGATTTGAAAGATGGGGGACACTACTTGTTAGCAGGTAATCTGTTCAAACCCTTTCAGAGGCAAGAACAGTTACAGATTAAATGGACATTGATTTTGACTGGGACTGCTTTTGAAGGAAGCAACTGTTCTTCACAGAATAAAACTTGATTCTGAGTTATTCAGGCTGAAGCACATTATGCTAACTGAGTGGATTATCATATCCTAACTGGCAAGGAACAAGAATGTGGTTTTTGTGTCAGACTGATAAAAGCGTTCTTTCTCATGCCAGTCAAATCTCTGCTGGCACTGATTTTGGTATCACCTTGCTGTTACTTTTGTCTTATTTCAACACAGCTGGTAAACTTTACACCTTGGTATCATTTTTGGTTCCATGTTCTGTCTTCAATCAGAGCCTGAATTTTTAAGACACAGCCATGTGTGAAACAAATGTTTCTTATCAAGCACACCATCCAGGCAAAGGGTTGGAGTAAACTCACACTGCATTGTGACTGCTTATTATCTCATTATAACCTACCCATAGAAAGTTTGTTCTCCATAGCTCTGAATTTAAAATGACCCTAAGCAGCATGAAAATATGGAGTAACAGGGGTATGATCAGGCTAGCATCTTGATGCAGACAATTAAAACAAGCTATAAACATTGTACCTTGTTGCAGCCATTGCACAGTGCATATATATGCAGTTATCTGCAATGTCTAGAGTTTGGGGTGCACTCTGATTCTCCAAGTTTTTAGTCATTAGATATCCTTTCTTCCTCCCTTCCTGACTAGTCTAACCAAATATCTGAACTGATCAGTCTGGCTGATCAACTTTGGAGGCCAATTAAGCAGTCCAAAACAGACTGTTGTGCTCAAGCTCAAGACTCATGGCAAGAGTTTTCCTTCCTACCCTTCAGCTTTGGAAAACAGTCTCTCTGCTCTGCTTTGTACTTTACATTTTCTCACAAGCCTGTCAGAACAAGGATGACTTTAAAAGGAGAGTCTGAACTCTAAGTAAAGATAGAGGCATCTTCCAGAAGAATTAGAACATAAATGTTTTAAACAAAATATACTTATTTAGGATAAATCGCAAAACTATACTTTGGGTCTATTTACATTTATTTATTCACCTTTATATGTTTCTATTTATTTTTTCTGATACATTTCCAAGAGTTTGTATCTCTTTTGTGTGAAAGTTTCAAAAACTGACTTTTACAAGGGGGTGCAAGGGTTGGAGGTTTGGAGGTTATAAGTGAAGATGTATAACAAGAGTTTTCTTGCAGGAAGTTTAGGAAATGATTTACTCCAGTGGTGGAAAGAACTGAAGAATAATATTAAAGTAATTTGTGGAGTGTAGCATAAATGATAAACAGGCAAGCTGTTTCTGTCACTTCTCGACCATGGCACATTTTCCACAAAGGTAAAATGACACACGGCCTCCTCAGAACTAGCTACCTGTGAAAACCATTTCTGGTCTAAAATTCTAGCTATCTGCTAATAGGTGTTCCACCGACCCAGGACTAAATTAAGTCATTGCTTGTCTTTTTAAAAGTTTCTTGAGGGCTTTCATTAAGATTTATTTTAAAGTGTGTCGGTAGGGTGGGTAATGTAACTACATGAACTGCTGATGACACTTCCTGTGACAGGGGACAGATGGCTCTTGGAGCAGGGCAGGGCAGAGACAGGCCAGGTGGGAAATGGGGAGAGATGCATTTCGGGAATGAGGGTTAGTGCAAGGCAGGTGGGAGTGGAGCAAATGGCAGGGAAAGGATGTGCAGAGGAATCTTACTGTTTGGTCTGAATGGAACTATTTTGGAGGCGTAATGTGTGGGGCTATGCTGAGAGTTGCTTCCAATTCACGTCCTTGCCTGAAGCAAAGCAGCTGTGGAAGCTACTTACCTGATAACTGCTGCACTGAAGGCTGGTCATGTGTGCTTAACAATTGTGCCTGAATGGTTTCTACTACCCTCTTAAAGCGACGGCTTGGACCTACAGAAAAACACATCAGACTGTGAGACAAGACAGCATGGAAAGCTTCTGTGATATATAATGTATGGAGGTACAGTCAAGTAAATAAAGATGGCACAAGCGGCATGTTACTTCCATTTTTAATCAGTACTAGATTACTAGATATCATCCCTTTGGTATCTCTACCTTTTGCCACAATGTGCTCTCATTATTCTGTGGCACAAGGCTTTCTGCTATATTACTCTCTCTATACTTAAGTAATATAGTATTTCAGGACTAGGCTGTAAGCTCACTTTGCTTGTTCCTCCACAGATTCTCCCTTCTGTCATCCTTATAACATCCTATTCCTTTCTTGCCCAGCTGACAAAAAATAGATCATCATCTAGAAAGGAACATTCTGTACAGGTGGCGTGGGACCTTGTTCATTCACAATAAAGGTTAGATATTAGAAGTGGTATGTCACGAATGGGAAACATGAGTCCCTACAGATGTCTTTAGATTGCAATTGCAATGATGCCTCACCCTTGGCTATGTTGGCCAAGGTTGATTGGGGTGGAGTTAAACAATATCCAAATGACTTCTCTTTATCCATCAGATAATGATTGTCAGATTCTTCAAATAGCTTTTGCAGCATCACATCTCATTTAAGACTTGCTAGATATTCCTCTTTCTTTCCCATACCTAACAATCTCATTCATTATGCCTACCTGACTGTCGTATTAAATGCTTCACTTCCCCTCAACTTGCCCAGATCAAACAATGATTCATTGATCATTTGGTGGGTTAATTCATTCTTTTTAAAGTGACAATTGCTTAGTCTCTTTGATCTTGTGGAGCCCATATCCTTTCAACACAGTAAGACTTATCTATGATAACCATCCAAATCTATAACTTTGGCCTTATTTTAAAACAAGTCATCATGTCATAGTGCTCATGAAGCTGAATACGTAATGCCAATAATTAGTGTCTAAAGAAATGGGAGGGGAAAAGGGGGAAACTGGGTAGGTTCAAAGTGTGAAGAAACATGAGATTTTTAGGTGAGATTCAGATAAATCCTCCTGAACAGAGACAGCTAGTTTCTCACTCTGCTCCACTTCAACTGAACTCTGTCAGTCAGGTACATAGTCTATTGGGTGTTTGATAATTCAGCTTTTGCAGCTGCAGGCAAGAAATACAAACATATTTACTAAGACTCTGGTGGGCTACTATACATGGCTAGTGACTTGCAGAGCTAGAGCAATGCATAACACATATTTATAATCAACTTAACATTTGGACATATTTCATGTCACAATCTGTTGAAGAAACCAACTTTATTCCAGGCAACTTTCAATGGCATGGTTATGCTTCTGTTCCTGAATGCAGACAAAACATTGGTGCCACTTACCTGATAATAGTGTGAAAGTGACTGAGTAGATCCCATTCTCTTTCTGGGCCTCACCACCTTCTGTGTATGTTATATCCACCTGGAACTTGACTGGTTTCTGAAATACAGCGGGGCCCCCTGTGGATTTGTACTCTGCACGGAAGCTTGTCTGAGAGATGACACTATGACTAAGACTGGGAATCTAGATAAAGGAACGTGATATTAGGATCAATAAAGGCCTGGTGCCATTAAAGGAAACATGGCCAGACATAAATTAAAAATCTGCCTCCTTTTCTTTACAATTTGAAAGATGAAAGAGAAACAGCTTTAAAATATTAAAGATAAATAAATAACATTATTTTTAAAGAGATTTTTTTGGTAAAACTTGCAGTCAATAATATCAGCTGATTCTCATTTACTTTTTTTTTCTTTCAAAAATCCATTGCTAACAAGTTTACACTTTCACCATCTACTTCAAAGCCTACCATTTTGGAGTCATTTAACATTTTTCTTTCCTTGTTTTTTGTAAACCAGTTATTCCTGTTGTTAGTTTATCATCCCTATCTATTTGATGTGGCTGGGGTATTTGGCTACTGGCACTGAAAAGGGGTACAGAGAGTATTGCTCAGCTTTAACTATTCAATGTACAATTGCTAAAAAGAGCACAAATTCAATTGCTGGTTTTCTCCCCCTTTTCAAGAGAGGATGGACCTGTTCTTTCTTGCTCCACTTTACCTCTTTAATGTCTCTTCACCATAAGCAAATAATAGCTTCCCCCTCCATATTTGCCCCCTTGCTTTCACATAAGCAACTAGCATTGATAGGCAAGCATGAAGACAACTGCAGAAACTTTTAAAAGTTTGAAAAATGGGAGTCTGTTTTCTTTTTCTTTTTTTGCAACATACCACATAAAGAATACATAAATACAGAAATATATTGTCTTGCTTTGGCAGTACACGCAGTTGATACACTGTCTGCCCTTTTGGCTTATTTATTTATCTGTGGATTTATTTATTTATCATCCCACTTTTCTCCCCATACAGGACCCAAGATGGCTCACAAAATAAAATACAGTTTAAACAACAGATAATATAAAAGTTAGGAAAAATAGTCATATTAAAACATGAATTTAAAATAACGATAAAATACAACTCCAATTAAAAGACCTTCTGCAAAAAACAGTTACGATATATATGAAATGAAACATAAAAATTCCTATGTAGTGGCTGCATGTAATGTGCTGCAATGTATTGCTGAGTGCTATCATATGCTATATACTGTGCTACACTTGAACATTTAAATGGTCCATCAAAGCCAGAGTGGCTGGATTTACATGCTTCTGAGATAACCGAGAAAACCAGAGAAAGGCCTCTAGGAGGAAGAACTGAATAGGGTTTTAGAAGGGTTGTGAAAGATTAAATAGGGTTGCTGTGAGTTTATGGCCATGTTCTAGAAGCATTCTTTCCTAATGTTTCACCCACATCTAGATAATGCTTCTGGCACATGGACATACAGCATGGTAAACTCACAGCCACCCAGTGATTTTGGTCATGAAAGCCTTCGACAACACAAGGATTAAATAGTTTAGGGATTAATATGTTATCTAAATGTGTCTTAATAAATTTCTACTTGCTTATTCTTTTCTTACAGCAGTGTCTGGCTGTTCCTTTTAAGGTTGATGGAGGGTCTGGTTATGTTTACCACTGACCCACAGAACAACGTATCCACTGATCTACACCTTGAAGCCCAATTGGCCATTCCAAGGAGGGAACTTAAGGTGACAAGAGGGCAAGGTTGGAACTTTGGTACCAGCCTGGAGAGTTGATCTATCACAAGGAAAACTAAAGCAAAAAAGACAGAAGCTGTGATGCTGAAGCTTCCTTAAATGGTGGTGAGAGGAGAGAAGAAAGTAACTAGATTAATGTGCAGATAGGATCTTGCCTGAATCAGACTAATTTCAGAGTAAAATACAGAAGCATCTTGCATGTAGAAAGTGCTTTTACTGGAATGTTAATGTATATATTCCATAGGGAACTGTAAGCAGTATATTTTTAGATGGTGGTTGGAAGTCAATGCCATATTAGTTTTAAAGAACACTCTTCTGGGAAAAAGCAAATATCATTGGAACTAGAGGTTGAAACAATGCAGTATATCAAGCTTCATTTATTCCTGTATTATTTGACTCAAAATACTTACCGAGAGGAATGCATGAACAATGTCAGCCTTGATAGAACTCAGTGGTTTGTCCTTAATAACTACAAAGATCTGTTCTTCTTTCTCTAAGTTGATAAAGTTACCAAACCAGGATTTTTTGGCAAGCCTGATCAAACCAAGGAGTGGAGAGAAAACACAAAGCAAAGAGAATATTAAGAGAAGAGAAACATTAGGCAACCAACACAGAATCAACTAAGACTGAGCTATACTGCATGTTGATATAATTCATGGTGTCAAGGGAGTCATATTTACTCAGCATCCCTGTGATTCATGTGGTTTTACTACAACAGTATGATACAATCAGAGAAGACCAGGTATTGCTCAGCTGAATCTAGAAGATAAAAGGCAGTAATAGATACAGCTATGAAACCATTTTAAGTGAAACAGCTTTATAAAGAACAGCTGCAACCTCAGTAAGGATGTTGGAAACCTCCTTTCTTTGTGTCATAGTTGTATAAGCCATTTTAAACTGGTGCTGTCCAGATGTTTGGGACAGTGTCCATACTAACAGGAGATGGTGGACATTTGTTTCTTGACACTCTAAGGTTCCCATCTTTCACAATGGTCACTGGCAGCCACATTGATGGCACATTTCAATTATCTAGCCAGCTGATTACTCATTTCACAGACAAAAGGGAAACTTGTTGGGTCTTTAAAGGTGTGGAAGAGAAGGGGTTTAAGAGAAAGAGAGGAAAACATTTATTCCTGCCAGCTTGCTTGGCTAGCAAAGCAATGCAAAGCGGCCACAATTGCCTAAATCATTCCCTGTGCCTTTGTGAAAGTGGACTGAGAAAGCACAATTCTCTAAAATATTCATAAGCATCTACTGCTCTCCATGAGCCAAAGATTAGCATGGGGAACAGTAAAGAGAAAAAGTTACAAATTTAAGTGGGTTGTTAAGAAGTTGGGATAGAGTAGGAAAAGATATTACATGTTGAGCTGCTTGACTCATTTTTAAGCATATCACAATGGCTCTGTTTGTCTTATATATTAAATGTCTATGATAATTAGAAATGTATATAGGCATCTACCTTTTAATCTATTGAATCTCTTTTGTCTTAACCTTATGGCCACTTCACATGTGATCTTTCCCCAACAGAGACACACAATTAATTGATTTAATCTATTTTCCCATTGTAAGTACATATGCTGAACGTCAGAGCCATGTTATTTGCATAGTGCAAGAAATGCACACAAACTTATTTACATAGCAACATGCAGATGTTAATAACTGAATATTTTTCCTCTTTATACAAAAATAATAAAGAGAGACCATTTCATTGGGTAGAGCTCCCTGATTCCTTCAGAGTGTTTGTATGCAGTAGCTAGTGGGATACCGCCTTAAAAGTAAATTGGACTGCACATAATTATTCAACACACACTCCTAAGCATATTTTTAAAATCCAGTAAATTTAGTCCAATATACCCTCTACCAAGGGTAATTGAGAAATAAGTTTTAATGAAATGGTGCATCTTTCAAAAATGCTGCCAACTAACCAAACGACTGCACTGGATCAGATGTCACCTTTTCCTCTCTAATAATGTATTTAAAAGGAAGCTATTCAACTTTGAAATCTTGAAATCCATTTCCTCAATGATGGCAAACTTAGATTTTTTTTACTGATCCATAAAGAAAATTGACATAATTATTTGGGAAAGAATTTAGCAGAAAATTTCATACATAACTACAAATTATATACACAACTACTACATGCTTTAAGGATGTGGTATTCATTTTTTGTGAAATGGATGAGAAAGTGCATAATGTTTGCCAAATTCTATTACTTGAATTACCAACAAGAATAAAAGTTGCTGGGGCCTTAATGAGTTGTCAAAAATGCAATGAAGCTGTTTATTGCATTGGGGTCTTGTGATAGTGCACAAACCAATATGTTCTTTCTGGTTCTGCTGCTATACCTCTTTCATTTCTACAAAGCAAGGAGGCATCAAAAATGATGCTATTTTGTTATAAAGCACAAAAAATACTGAACCCATGATTGGATAGATTGGCTTCTAGTGTAATGTTGAAGTGGGGAAGAAGGAGGTAATGATTTACATATTGCTCATAAGATGAAACTGGTTCCAAAATCTTTTGGGCAGTGATATAAGGAAAGATTCCTGCTGGACTGTACAGCTGTGCTGTGACCTTGTGGACTTTCACAACTTTTAATACTTCACTAGTATCTTGCCTTGTTTGGACTGTAGAATCAACTGAGTGGCCAAAGAAAGGCTCTGTGGGTGTGTGTCTGTGAAAGACCAGGGTCATCACAGTTAGACTGACTGCAACAATCCTTAGCAGCCATCTGGAGCATATAGGTAGAAAAACTTCATGAACCAGTTTATCCTTTTCTGTCCATAGAGGTTTCTGTGGAACATCCTAGATCTTTTAATCTTGATTAACCTCACTGATGCTACCTCTTAACATTTTGACACCCAGATTTCTCTATTGATGAACGTGCTGGCTTAGATGGGTTTTCTCTGCACTAACAGCTGAAAGGCTACAAATGGGGCAGGATACTTTTTGCCATGAATGGATGATGCTTAAAGTAGCTACATTCCAGCCTAAATTTCATTACTATCCCAAGTCTATGACAATAATGTTTTTATGTTGGTATGCTTTTAGAGATTGATATGAAATTTTGAATGCATTGATGGCAGCAGAGTTGAGATGTACATCAGTGTTTCTGGTTCTGCATTAAGTACCCACTGCCTTTGGAATATCCCCAGCCCCCTATTTTGGAAAAGCACGTTTCAATGGTTCTGTTAGGGTTTCTCATGGGGAATATGAGAGCACTAAACCAACCAGCAACTGACTGGTTTGTTTCAAACTGGAATTTATTTAATTTTCCTTTAATATATTATTTTTTTGGCTTTAGTATCACTTTATAAATAATCATGGTTTTTCCACCTAGCACATCTGAAAAATGAAAATGAGAATCATTTTAAAGGAAGGATTGAAAACATTACAAAAATTGATAAATTAATAATAAAGAGAATCAGGTGCAAAGCAGCTTAGGATACAAATGAAGAACTTGTACGTTATTACTCAACAGTAGTAAGTAAAGGCCCTTCTACATAGCCCTATATCCCAGAATATCAAGGCGGAAAAATCCCACATTATCTGCTTTGAACTGGAATATATGGCAGTGTGGACTCAGATAACCCAGTTCAAAGCAGATATTGTGGGATTTTCTGTCTTGATATTTTATGATGTAGGGCTGTGTGGAAGGACCCTAAGTATAGAAAAGTGACCTCAATGAGCAGCAGAAATGCCTGTGTTTATGTGTGCATGTACCTCCTAGCTTCACTGAATAGGTTCTTGGTATATACACTAAAGATAGTACAAAACTTTATCGAATGCTGCAGATAAAGAGTAGCTATTAGCTAAACGTTATTGTATAAAATACCTCTGAATTAAACTGAATTCTCTCTGTGCAAACCTAAGTTCAGGAAAGTTTATACAATCTAATTTTCTATTACAGGCTCTAGCTTCTACAACAAGGAATTTCTATGGACCCCTACAAGCTTAATTCTAATTAGAACCCTAGAGGACACATACCAACAGCCCAATTCAACAAGTCTGATGTTTAGGACTTTGTTGAATTGAGGCCCTGCTGCAAATCAACATTGCTCCATCTTCTGGCACACACGATATTTTTAAAAATCATATTTTTTGGGAGGATGATAGCAAATAGAAACTTTGAAATAAACCCTTGATTCCATTGTCTTGAAACCAAAAGTTAGTGTCTCAAAGCACTTTTTCCCTGTGGCTGTACCTCATATATGAGGTTTCTCTAATCTGAGAACCTCCAGAAAAGTTGCTCAACAAATTCATGTTTGCATTTTTTAAACAAGATGAAAAATTGATTTAATATACTGGCTTTTTAGTGTAATTCCTGGATGCCCCATCCTTGGGTCTCAAAACAACATAAGAACATCATTTGCATCCAAAGAAACTAAAAAGGCCTAAGGATATGACCAAGAAGTTCTGGGGCTTTATTACTACAGATTATCTTTACTTCTTTTGTTTCAGCAGGCAGATATTTAATGTAGGCATTAGCCTAGTAAGTGATGTTCTGATGTGACTACCCATGTTTTCAAGCAGCGGTTACCAAACTTTGGGACATCAGTTCCCAGACTTCCTGACTGTTAGCCAAACTATCTGGGGCTTCTGGGAGCTGGATATCAAAATGCAGCTGCTTTAAATGTATTTGCATGTGCCTGAATGGGAAAAGAGGCACACATTTGAATACCAGCAGGATAGCAAATCATTGCAGATTGGAGGCATTCATATCTATACTATTAGTCACTTCTAATCCAACAAATGATAAGTCTGGAGAAGATATCTTTGCTGGATTAGATATCAATCTTAAATGGATGCTTTCCAAAAAAAATAATGCACTGAACTCAGAATATGTCAAATCCATATGATTATCATCACATCAAAAAGGACAGCCATGCTCACTATCCTTTCTTCACTTGCAGTTCCATTCATCCCCACTGTCCAAATATTGTGGAGCATATTTATAGAAGGTAAAATCCTTTATGTGAGTAAAGAAAATCCTCCAGTCAAGGATTTAGGTTTCCAGGGGAATCAATGCACATAGATCTCCAATCTATAGATGTGCTCCTTCAGTGTATAGAAGAAAGGGACTGAAGTTGGTGAAAACATGACAGGAGGAATAGATCAGTAGGCATAGTTCTCTCTCTCTCTCTCTCTCCCCCCCCCCCCCCCCCCCCCCCCCCCCCCCCGTGCTCCATATACTCCAAAAATTCAAAGAAGACAAGCTAATTATGAACATTTAGAATGGAGGTGCCAGATCAAGATTAAGGGTAAATATGTTTGTAATTTGGAAGGATGTTGATTACTCAAAATGATTATGAAATTATGCAAAAATTTAAAAGCAGATGGAGTCATGCTGCTTTACACCAGAAAAGGACTTGGGCCTATGAATACAATTTCTATTATTTTACCTAGACTTGTCCACAAATAAAATGATACACATTACCTAGACATGTCAAGGTATAATATCCAGTCATCAGAACTGTTAAATGAATTAGATTCATTAAAACATGCAGCAACAGAGAAAGGAAATACATTGATGTAACATGTCAGTCATGGGGGTCAGTAAATGTTCTGCAGAAATAGAACTCCAAAGAGGACACAGAGCACTGAGGCCTTGATGGTTGAAATAAAAATGCAGTTCATTATTTTTTACAGCTTTTATTATGTTTACTGCAGGGTGCCATCCAATTGAACTCATTAATTCAGCAATTATATTGTAAATGGGGAAAGAGCCTTAGGCCCTGAGTTGCATCCAAACTGCCTACTAAGGCAGCTTTACATCCACCCAGCAGTTCTTAAAGGGACCGTAAAGGAGAGGGGAGACAGGAAAAGGTGGTAGAAAAAGTGGCAGAGAAAGAAAGAAAGGCTCAATATGCCTCTTAAATTTCAATAAAAACGCTTTATATTTCTGTCTGCAGAACTGTCAACAGCACAAGTTACACATTCAATGTATTTTATCTATTTTAAAACAATTATATTCTGCTTATTCTCCAGTCACGTTCTAGGCAGCTTTCAACACATAAATATGTCAAAATTAGAAATTCCACAGCTGAGTCTCCAACATATTTATTTCTAATCCCCTCCCAGAACTCTTTGTTATCCTGGTTAGAATTGGATTGGTGTTAGATTGCTCCATTTTTACAAAAGCTTTAGAACTGGAAGTGGGAAAACTGCTAGAACAGCATCATCACCTCTGGTTAAAAGACCTCCTTGGTCCAACAAAATACCAGATCATTTCAGCCATGTGAGTGGGGACCAGAGGTAGAACAAAAGAAGCTGCAAAAGCTACCAAAAATATGAAAGTCCATTATGCTTATAAAGAGAGTCTTTAGAGAACTGCTCTCAGTAATGCATCATTAAAAAGCATTTAGACATGTGTAATTTTCCAGGTAAATTTTCATTAAATGCATTTTAGGTCTGGTTTTATGGTGGAAATAACTGAAAAATGGCATCTATATGTCCCAATGCTACTTCATTTGCTGTCCCAATTTGAAATACAACAACTGCTATCTCTACACCAGTTTTCATGACACAGATTATGCTGAACCTACTAGACATTTACTTGGCATGGGATCAAAAGAAAACTCCAGAGTGATATTTTGCTGTGTGCAATATAAGATATTACAGCTTTGCTTTATATTTTAAGACTGGTTGTCCAACCATTTTGAAAGAGATGCACAAGATCAGGGGACCTTCCATACTACACAATCACAGCAGGTGCTATAACACTCTAAATCAGGCATGGGCAAACTTCGGCCCTTCAGGTATTTTGGACTCCAACTTCCACAATTATCCCATATGAACCTGCCCAAAATGTGAAGTGATCAATGGCATCCTGACATTCCACAAGGCTAGCATGTACATACTTGTGACAGGGCCTTTTATGAACCAATAACCTAATGGTGGAACTCCCTGCTGAAAGATAGTCATTGAAATTTCTCCACTGTTTTAATTGACTGGGCTTTAAATTTTTTAAATATGTTATAGTTTGTTTTAAAGGGTTTTTTTTAATATATGCATTAACTGTTTATTTGATGGGGAAGAGTTTCATGGATACTATGGATGGATAAGAAAGGCAAATAAATGAGTCCTAGAGCAAATTTAAATTTTTAAATAAGCAATGCATGGAAGTGGAAGAAGACAACAGAATAGGAAGGACAAGAGACCTCTTCCAGAAAATTAGAAACATTGGAGGTAAATTTCAGGCAAAAATTGGTATGATAAGAAACAAAGATGGCAGGGACCTAACAGAAGCTGAAGAGATCAAGAGAAGGTGGCGAGAGTATACAGAAGATCTGTATAGGAAGGATAATAATAATGAGGATAGTTTTGACGGTGTGGTGAATGAATTAGAACCAGACATCCTGAGGAGTGAGGTTGAATGGGCCTTAAGAAGCATTGCTAACAACAAGGCAGCAGGAGACGACGGGATCCCAGCTGAACTGTTTAAAATCTTAAAAGATGATGCTGTCAAGGTGATGCAGGCCATTTGCCAGCAAATATGGAAAACACAAGAATGGCCATCAGACTGGAAAAAATCAACTTATATCCCCATACCAAAAAAGGGAAATGCGAAAGACTGCTCCAACTTCCGTACAGTGGCCCTTATTTCTCCTCATGCCAGTAAGGTAATGCTCAAGATCCTGCAAGGAAGACTCCAGCAATACATGGAGCGAGAGTTGCCAGATGTTCAAGCTGGGTTTAGAAAAGGTAGAGGAACGAGAGACCAAATTGCCAATATCCACTGGATAATGGAGAAAAGCAGGGAGTTTCAGAAAAACATCTACTTCTGCTTCATTGACTATTCTAAAGCCTTTGACTGTGTGGATCATAATAAATTGTGGCAAGTTCTTAGTGGGGATTGGCATCCCAAGCCACCTTGTCTCTCTCCTGAGGAATCTGTACAAGGACCAAGTAGCAACAGTCAGAACTGACCACGGAACAACAGACTGGTTCAAGATTGGGAAAGGCGTACGGCAAGGCTGCATACTCTCACCCAACCTTTTTAAATTGTATGCAGAACACATCATGCGATGTGCGGGGCTTGATGAATGCAAGGCTGGGGTGAAAATTGCTGGAAGAAACATTAACAACCTCAGATATGCAGATGACACCACTCTGATGGCCGAAAGCGAGGAGGAGCTGAGGAGCCTTCTAATCAAGGTGAAAGAAGAAAGTGCAAAAGCCGGGTTGCAGCTAAACATCAAAAAAACCAAGATTATGGCAACAAGAATGATTGACAACTGGAAAATAGAGGGAGAACTGGAGGCCGTGACAGACTTTGTATTTCTAGGTGCAAAGATTACTGCAGATGCAGACTGCAGCCAGGAAATCAGGAGACGCTTACTTCTTGGGAGGAGAGCAATGTCCAATCTCGATAAAATAGTAAAGAGTAGAGACATCAGCATGGCAACAAAGATCCGCCTAGTCAAAGCCATGGTATTCCCTGTAGTAACCTACGGATGTGAGAGCTGGACCTTAGGGAAGGCTGAGCGAAGGAAGATCGATGCTTTTGAGCTGTGGTGTTGGAGGAAAGTTCTGCGAGTGCCTTGGACTGCGAGAAGATCCAACCAGTCCATCCTCCAGGAAATAAAGCCCGACTGCTCACTGGAGGGAAAGATACTAGAGACAAAGTTGAAGTACTTTGGCCACATCATGAGGAGACAGGAAAGCCTAGAGAAGACAATTATGCTGGGGAAAGTGGAAGGCAAAAGGAAGAGGGGCCGACCAAGGGCAAGATGGATGGATGGCATCCTTGAAGTGACTGGACTGACCTTGAAGGAGCTGGGGGTGGTAACGGCCGACAGGGAGCTCTGGCGTGGGCTGGTCCATGAGGTCACGAAGAGTCGGAGACGACTGAACGAATGAACAACAACAACAACAGAGCAAATCAAGCCTAAATTATCCCTTGAAGCCAAGATGACTCAACTAAGACTGTTGTACTTTGGACACGACTCACTGAAAAAGAAAATAATGCCTGACAAGATAGAAGGCAGTAGAAAAAGAGGAAAACCATATTCCAGATGAATAGACTCAGTCAAGGAAGTCATGGTGAGGAGTCTGCAAAACTTGATGACTTGAAGGTTTCTCATTCATAGAGTTACCATAAGTTGAAGTTAACTTGGTAACAGTTAAGAACAAATGTAAAGTTTTAAATGTTTTATGGTTTACATGTTGCCTTTGGTAAACTGAGAAGTGATAAACTATTTTTTAAAAATGTGAATGAATTTTGTTTTTATATTTAACTAATACCCCCTTTAAGGGTCACTAATGATATTTTTAACTTAATCAGGCAGACCAGTGATCATGTCTGTTTCTCTGAACTACTGCAATTACTTTACCTAAAGGTATTTGTTGGTACAACAGTACCACTATTGGTTTAATTAGCTACTGCAATACCCTGCCCATAACATGATATAATCCGAGTGACACAAATTAATTTGTACAGAACATCTTTCTCCTCTCGGACAGTATTGCGTGTCATAGAAGAATCCAACTGGTAGTGATATTACATCATACAGCAAAATACTTACTCTGGAGAAGATTCTGGAGTTAAATTGGACATCTCTTCTGGTGTAGGTACTGCATATACACACAGAGAAAGCAGAAAGAGGGAGAAAAATGGGGAGGAGAAGGAAATAAAGTCTTTTTAATTCTTCTTCTGTGTTAATAAAAGGAAATGTGGGATTATAATTCATTATGTATACATCTCAAGCACATCAAACTTGTTTTAATTTTCAATCACTTACAATCTCTAAATCTGCACTGCTCCCTTATTGAAATGTGACTCATATGAGCAGTTATATACTGAAATATTATACCATAATAGGACTAAACTCTTGCTGTCTAATAGTTTTATCATTATGCTCCATCTACCTATCTAGATGTATCAGCTGATATTAATATATAACTTAAAAACATTCCACTAAAACACGAACAACTAAAATTCATAAAATGATGTTAAATTGCAATGCCGGTTCTGTATCATTCAGATATTATATATAGCCTGCAGCAGCTTGATTACTTGGAAAATCTGAAAATGAGAGTGCAAACTCTGCCTTACATTAGCAGTCTTTATTCCAGCACAGAACAAGGATATGTACAAATGAAATGGATTGCTACACTATGGGAATTCTTTGGCTAGTTTTAAATCAGGAAAGAGATTTCCAATGGTAGTTCAACTATTCATAATCATAGAAAGCAACAAATTGCATGTTTTCTAACTTTTCTTAAGTTGAAAGTGTATGTTCTCTTATAGATTTTGCCATTCAAAAAGGAGTCTTGGAAAGAAAAAAGGGCAGAGCAATCTTCCATGAGCCTAATGGATTTTAGATAACTGGCTGTGATGTGAAAGGAAGGTGAACCTTAGAAATTATCCATGAATCTGGATACATAGCATTTCCCCCCTATTCGTTAAATAATATGATGACATCACTGAAAAGACTCTGAGGATGAATAATGAGTGAAAACTAGCTGTTGCAAAAAAGGCATTTTAATATCCAGAGATAAAACTTTTCAGTTAGAACTAAGCTGTGATAATTATACACAAAGCACAGTTAAACATGAATTGCAGACACAATTCTTTATATTATTGGTCTCTTGGACAGACAGTTCTCAGGTATGAACACCAGGGAGGGGAGCTATCTATTTTTTGTAGAAAACAGGGACAGGTGTTGATGAAGCCATACTTACAATATTACATAGGACAACGTTATAACACTTGCTGTGTAAACACCCACAATAGTAAATGTGTATGGTTACTGTCAATCTGAAGGTATACTTCATACCCTTCAGTACTTCCATGAAGAGTGTCTAAATCTTTTCTGTCCTCCAGGGCCATATAAAACCTTAATTTGCTCTTTTACCTGTCTCTCTCCTATACCTGTAGCTATGAAGTGTGAATGCTAAGAAGACTGGTTGAGGGATAAGAAATGGCCATCAATACCCCTTCTTGTACCTCAGAAAGACACCAGAATGTTGTTGGTACGGTCTAGTAGCTAATACTATTTATTGCTTACATTCCAAAGGCTTCAACACAACAATACTTTGCAATATCCTGGATTTTAGCAGGGTATATTGAAATGCAATGATTGCACAACGTCAATAGTATTGTCCAAAAAACAACAGGAGAATCTGCAGATCAGAGAAAGTACTGAAGTCATGAGTGGAAGTTACAGAATGGATCTAGTAAGTACCGGTAGTTTAGCTAGTTTCTCTATGTATGTAATCTTAAAATAAAAGTGGCATTTTTATGACTAGATGACTAGCATCATGAATCTTCAGGTAACACACTAGGAAATAAAAGATATATGACTGAAGACATATGCAAAGAACATGTCTAAGATATAACTTTTATATAATGCAGTTTGGTTTCTCTATTTAATTAGGAAAATAGTGTCTTGTAGTCTAGGTACCCAACCACTACATGATGGGAGATATATTCCTAATATCCTTCTTCCTCATTCAGTATATTTTATTGGCAATATCCCTCAGCACTGTTGATAGTCTAACACATTTCTTCTGAAAAAAAAAGGGTTATGACAATTTCCTAATATCAGGGGTAGCAACAGAAATAAATAGTAGTGCAAGAACTTCCACGATTTCTTTTCCAAAATTACTGACATTGCTATCTATTAATCACGGGTTCTCTGCCTTTGGACTTCTATCTTCCCAAACTTAAATTACCATTTTTGGCGAACAGAGAGATGTACCTTGCAATTTCCGGCGATGGAAGCGAGGAGATCCCAGGAAGCTGTTTTTGATTGAGTTGAGTCGTGTTCTCCAAGGCATTCCTCCAATGCTGGGACTGGACGGTGGCGTAGGGTTGGGTGTGCCTGCTGGGCTCTCCTTTGGCGTATGAACAGGTGTCCCCTTGGGGGTAGGGAGGGGACTGCCCCTTGGAGAGGGGTGAGGGGTGACCTGTATGATGGGGATAGATTTGGTGCTTGGGTCAGTACTAGAAGGGAGCAATCTAATAGGAGACAGAGGGTTGATTTGCACAGCAGGAACAACCAGCTGTGGGCTAAACCCAGGAGCAGGTGGGCGGCCTTGAGTGTTTTGTGCCGGGGCATTTTGGGGAGCAGGGGCAGTAGCATTGCCAGAGGGGAGTGGATTGGATTTAGTAGACTGGAGTGGTTTCTCAGCCAATTTGCTCTTGGATGGTAAAGTCTGTGTCTTTGGATTAGGTTGAAGTGCTGGCTTTGGTTGCAGAACATGTCCAGGCCTGGAGGCATTCCTACACGCATCAGAGTCCAGGGAGACTTGGGGGCGGGAGGTGAAAGGGAGGTCAGGAGTCTGAGGGGGGATGAAAAATTTTCTGATAGGCTACAAGATACACACACAGAGAGTATCCATGCACGTCAAGAAAAGCAAAACACACACACATACACACAAAGTGGGTGAATAGAGGAAATAAAGCCCATTTGAGTTGCAGTGGTGCGGCACATCACAAAGAGGTACGAGATATGGAGGTGAAGGTGAAGGAGGTAGGGTTAGGAGATTGCAAAGAAACAAAAAACAAACACAGACACAAAAACAAAACAAAAAAACATGCAGTTAGCTGGGAACACAGCATAATCAACAGCAGCAGCAGTGGTGGCAGTGAAAACCAACAGTTTTCTAACAAGCCTCATTGTATTAACCAACCATGTGTCAGCAAAGAAAAAAAACCACAGAGCAAAAGTAACATGAAGGAAAAGAAAAGAAAAATAACCAGGTGGACAAGGGAGGGGAGCTGCAAGAGAGGCAAACCCCTGAGCTGTTCTGACTGTCTCACAGAGAGAGAAGAACAAGGCTGGAGAGAGTTGAGGACGGGGAAGGCAGTACCATTCAAGCCGTAGTGAAAACCAACATGTTAGCTTGTAGGCTGAGCTTGCCCACTCTCCTTTCAAAATGTTTACCATGATCAAACACACCAAAGAAATGCACATTAAAACAATATGTGTTCAGCAGGTGATGACAGAGATACGCACATTATTACTTAGGTCAGCCCTCCCCATCTCTGTCAAAGTATCACCAGACGCTGATGGTAGGATGGAGTGTTTGGTGTGTGTGTTAGCAAGAGAGGGAATGAAAAGCAGAAAATAGGGGGCTCTGTCACTTCATCTCCCTTCATTCACTGGTCATCCATCCAGAGATACTCAGTTTTCTCTTTTGGGCTTTAGAATATGAGGTCTTAGAAGAACATAGAACAATGGCCATACTAAATCCCAACAAGAGCCACCAAAACAAGTTTGTTTTGCAAATTGCCTCACTCCCCATAAGTCTTTCTTCTGTTATTTGATGGTCAGATAACCTGATCTCATTGTTCATTTTTTTAAAAAGTCACTGCTATGTATTACCATATTTACTGAAGCATAATGCACCATCAAATCTAACATACACCTCAATTTTGACAATGCAATTTTGCCCCACAAAAAAAGTGAGCATTAGATTTGAGTAAATATGATATTATACTGTCCCAGAATCTCATTCTAGGGTTGATTACTATGGTCAAGGGTAATTAAAAAACAAACTAAAACACACAATCCACCATGGTCCACTTCAGAGAAAGAGATTTTTTAAAAAGCCAGGCAGGTTTAGTTGTCAGAATACTTCAAGAAAAAAACTTTCAAATAGGAGCCAAATAAATTAGAAAGAAAAAATATTGTTCAGTATGATCCTAGAAACTAACTTAAGTACCATCTTCATTTCATAAAGGTAAAAAATGGCACAGATTAGAAAAATCATAGCAATTAAACCGTATTTGGTTTTCATTGTGAAATAATGTAAAGACATCAAAAGCATGTGCTGGAATTTGTGTGTGTGTAAAATTTATATTCTGCCTTTCTCATTGAACAGGAAGCAAGTAAATCCAAATTATGTTTTTATTCAGCAATTGCATTAAATTATACTAAATTATGCAATCATTGTACTGAATTATACTTTAATCATCTTTTAATCTTATAGATCATAGCAGGATAATACTACTGGTTTCAGTGCATGTACCAAGATATGAACTCAGACCAGACACTATCTTAAATGAAGTTTCTCACATTTTGGCAACTAAGGATCAAACTATCTGTGGTATTAGGTGTATCATGACTGACTTTTAATCGTTAATAGCCACCTTAAAAAAGGCCACAGAAAGGAAGCCTATGATATCTTATGACAGCTGGTTTGAGTCTCTTTTATAGGGAGAAAAAGCAGGATATTGTTGTTGTTGTTGTTGTTGTTGTTGCTGCTATCATTATTATTATCTTACCTGTCATCTGGGGAAGATTATGGCAGGACTATGATAGCATAGGAAGGAGAGTCAACACTTTCTACAAACCTAATAAAATTTATGTCACCTCCCTCCACACAGAGGTCCTAGGCAGTTTTAAAGAAATTTAATTCTTCATTTGCTGTGTTTAGTACCACATCTACTTGGAGATGTGAAAAAGCAAAGCTCATATTCTGAATATGAAAATATCTCCAAGCATGTCTGAAGAGTACCAAATGCAGAATGGAATCAGTCTGGAATGGTAAATGATTATTCTTGGTTTGACTAACTTTTTATTGCATGCTTAATTCTAAAATTAATTATTCGGTGCACATTTTCCTTTAAACCAGTTAGTGGTGTTCTCCCACCCTTGTTTTCAAAGGATGATTCAGGTGGAAGCAGTCACATGTGAATGGGTTACTAAAGGTGGCAAGAACGTTTTTCTTGAAGACTTTATATGATTGCTAAAAAAATACACTATTAGGAGGTGGGAGGAGGATGGTATACAAGTGTGCTGAAGGGCTGACTAAAAGTGATACATTAAAATCTGCTAGTCAAGAATCTGCCTCACCTGTCCCTTTCCAACCACCTTGCTCTCTCTTGGACTGTCTCATCTCTTACACCTTAATGGATCTCCTTTTATGTTTTGAATCTGAATCTATATTGCATTACCCAAATCCAATTTTGCATGATTTATATGTTGATTAGAGTTTACTGCTTCTCAAGAATTGCCAACTGTAGTGTTTGTTCCCAATGTAACTTTAGTTGTTATGGATTTTTGCTTCACAATGAATTTGCAATGAGCAACAGATATTCTTCCCATTGTACTATACAATCTCCAATAGGATCATCCTAGTTGCCGCCATGTTAGATGTTAATGATGCTTTGGGCAGCAAAAATGAGAGTAGAACAAGAAGGGCTCTATACCGGAGTAATAGTTTTGAACAGAACAGGCCATTTGAGGGGGTAGCACCCCTTCCTGACTGATTAAAATTCATGGGAAGAAATAATAGATGCTATCTAGGTCTCTTAAGATAGTAGATACAGTTCACTAATTTTCAGACAATCCCACTTACCCTTGGACTGCTGAGGGGGCTGGTGGACAGACCGGATGATGCTCCACTGATTGAACGAGACCTGAGTGAACACAACAGGAAGACAATAATTCTGAGAAACTGCTGTCAAAGGCTAACTCTGTTTTTCAAATAATATGTGAGTATAAAATAAACATTCTTTTGTTTGTCTGTATCTCTTGCTTGATGACATCGGGTTTTTTTTTCTGTGCAAGTATGGAAAATGCCGGCTTTATAAGGTTTACTTCTCAACAAACTCACCATTAATTGAGCTTTGATCTTGTACTAAGGATCAAGTCAAGAGAGAAAAGTGCAAATTTTGGAAGAAACTTCTATTGTTTGTAGCATGCCAGGCTAGATTACTTACCCCACCTTTTGAGAATATATCATCAAATATATCCCTAATAGCCCTGTCTTCTCAATCATCACACTTATTTCTTCTCTTACTATGGAGGTAATTCATATGAAATTATTTGTGTTTCCATATATTGGTTGTATTATCCATCAAAACAGCTATAAATATTTTGATTGAGCTTGATAGTAAGGTATGCAGGCTTGGAGGAGACTGAAGCCCTTCACAATAATCCACTGAAGTCATTATAAAAATAAGCCCTTCCAGAAACAGTATGCAGGTTTCATATTGGGATACATGAGCATAGGAAGTCTTAATCAACCCCAGGTACTAATATATTTATAATATAAACACATAATCAAAAGTAGTTGTAAAAGTCATTGGATGCCTGCATAACTAGCACATACTTTGGATATGTAAGCATAAATCCAGTTGCTAGTCCCAACTTGAACAGACCAACTGAATCAATTGCTGAAAGATATGTCACAGCTAGAATGGTGTATCAATTTGAGTGTTGAACTAGAATTCTGGGAGATCCAGAATTCAGCCATGGAAAATCCACTGAGTAAGATTGAGCAAGTCATCTTCTCTCAGCCTTAGAGGGAAAAATGGAACATTGCCTCTGAATAAGTCTTGCCAAGGAAACCCTAGGTCAGAGTTGACTTGATAGAACATAGCCACAATATCAACACTTATATAAGTTCAATTGATCCAGTTGGTCTATTGTATAAGCAAATGGATTTAGGCTCTAAAAGAATCCAGAGGTTCTACTGGTATTTCTGTTGTGTTTTAGAAGAAGAGACAATGATGATAGTGAACTCAGTTAAATAATAAATAACACACCCATACTTTAGAAATACATAGGGAAGGATGTCTTGATATGGGCAACTAATAACATGTGCAGAAGTCTATGCTACACACAAGCATGGATGTTTTGCTCTAAAAACTACAGATTCTACAGCACTTTCTCAAGCCATTAGCACGTGATCTCCTCTCTCTCATTGTGTATGTATATGTGTGTATATATATGTGTGTGTGTGTGTGTGTGTGTGTATATATATATATATATAATCATAGAATCAGCATGTAAAAACTGATCAGGTTGAAATTTGCCCATGAACTTATTCTATAATATATTGATTGGTTTCAGATAGAGTATTGTTAAAACAAATGTTGGCTTTATAAAAAACAAAAGGTTGGTCTATTAGACTTGTGCCAGAAACAGTGAGAAAAGGGAAATAAGGGTATCTTCAGATCTTCCAAACACATCTGTCACTTAAGTAACTATTTGGGAGAAACAAAGAATCTGAACCATGGTACATTTAGCCAAATAATAGTCTTTCCCAGACTAACCACATTAGATTCCTTAGCTGTCAGTTCTAGAGACCAATCTGATTGTATGGAGACTATGTACTCCATCCGTGAGTCATGATCCCTATAAAGCAACTTGCTCAAAAAGAGGCAGCATTCAACATACAAATCTATGATGTACTTTATATTTTTCTTCCAAGTCTTACTAGACTTATTCTTTCTTAACTCTTTTTTTTAACATTAGGAACAGAAATCATTCTCAGCTGAGCCAATGGTCAAGAAAGCTGAGAGCTGCAGTCTGCTAGCACCTTGAGAGACACATGATTCCCACCCATTGGACGGATAGTCTTTAGGTCTAACTCAGTGCAAAAGTGCCTGTGAAATTATTTCCTATGCAACAGCAGCTGGTGGTTCTCGTTACTGAGGTTTAATCTAAACTTGAAAGGTGCTGAGTGTATTGTAGGATTTAGGTGCTTTTAAAGTTCAGAAACTGAAATCCAGAGTGGATTTGCTGCTCCAATAACATGAAAGCCATAAGCTATGACTGTATCCTGAAGAACAGAATATTAAATATGTTAAATACAAAATATCTACACAAGTAAAATGGAATGTGCTGCTATTCTGTATAGTTAATCAATCTCTTTCAGAAAAAAACCCTACCATAACGTGAATGTCAACTTTAGAATACAGAACCATAACATACAGAACCATTCCTGTCTGCATTTAGGCAACTATGTTTGCTAACTGATCACATATATAGTTCTTGGTTTAGCCACCTGCCTTTAATGGAAGACATTTAAATTACAATATGATACATGTTATCAAAATGTTAAATCCTTCTTGGGACATTTCTTTATTATTGATTTATTATTGATTTTAAAATTTTATAGACCAAATTCAAAAAATGCTGGTTCTGAGTTCCATTGCAGCACAACACAGGTGTGCGAAAACCCACCACATTGGCTGGGAACTGGCCATACAGCCCAGTCATGCTGACACTGCTACAAAACAGCAAATTCATCGAAAGCCTCCTTACCATTCCAGAAGGACATCTGCTTTCTTGTTCACCTACTCTAGTGATGCAACAGCTTTGGAAAGGGAAGCCTCTCCTTTCTCCAAAGCCCAATACATCATCAGAACAAGGAAATGGAGAGCCTCCAGGAACAGTAAGGAAGCTTTCTGTGATTTTTTTCATAGGGAGCTGCCTGAATCTGGGGGGCGCTACCTGAGGGGACACCAGGTGGCAGTTTCTACTTTTTCAGAATCCACAAATATTAGGATATTCCATGAAGATCTGAATCTTTGAAAGTATTTCTTTAATCAGGTGTAAACTGGATTAAAACACTTACTCCAGGTTAAACTGCATAAGCCTGGGCATGTTGTTTGGACACCCCAGGTTAATGCGGTAGCTATATTGCATTATCTAGGAGAGTAGATGGGGTAGTGAGCTGTAGCTGAGAGTAGTGAGTAGTGAGCTATAGCTGAGAACAGTAGCCTAGGTAAGTAGGTGAGAGATGGCCCCTTGTCACAAAATAGGGATGTTTTCCTTAATTATCATGAGACTACCTACTTCATTACCTGTGGTCATGCGGGGATTATTTTGGAGAGGCAGGCTTCAGAAGAGTCTTCCTAGTGCTCCAAAGGGAATACTGGATTATAAAAAACTATTGCCTTCCAATTGAGACCAGTCATTTGTTGGGAACCAGTGCACCCCCCCCCCCCCCCCAATATGCTTTGGGGACAGCCAGGAATAATCAATCCAGGTACTAAGGCAAACACTCAGCATTAGAACATAATTAGATAGTGTAAAACAAGGGTAATACATGTGAAGGGGAAGTGAGGGAGGGGGCAGGGGAAAGAAAGAAGAATGGGAAAGAAAGAGAAGAGTAGTAGATTGAGAAGAGTGTAAAGCAGACAAATACTGTCTCACAATTTATTATCTGCAATTTCAGGAGACTTGTACATATTGCTGTTTCCCAGTCCTAAAACTGACCGCAGGCCTTTGTGAGTAAAGTCTGAATGTACTACGTTATTCTTAGAGCTTGCAGTCACAAATAAAAAGTAACCATCAAACCATAACATATCAAAGCTTATTTAAGAAAAATAATCTCCAAACTCATCTGAAGAAAATGGCGGCAGTTTAATGCCTTAAAATATATGAAGGTAATGAAGAAAAATAATAACCACCTTAACTTAGCAAGTTAAACAAAAACCCAATTCTATGTACTGTTATCAGAATGTCTGAAGAAACGTATTTCTGTGTTGTTCTTCACCTCTCAGCCAGAACATAAAATCAGATTAACGAAACCAGAGATCAGACCCCTCCCCTCATGAAAACTTGCCCAAAGCAGTGCTAAGATGAAAGAGCACTGTGAATTCAAACTGAAAGTACAAACTCGTGCACTGGATAGTGATATGAATCCCTGTTCTTTTGGGAACTCCAGAGGCAGCAACACACCAGCATACAAAACCAGAGTAATAACACTGGATAGATGATGAATGAGTCAATTTATAATGGGAAAATGGTCTTTTACTTCTAGGTATGACCATCAGCTACTACAAAGATAACCACCTGAAGTCTAATCCTGCATACGCAACCATGAAGCCAAAAGGAAATTGAAAGTTACCTGGGATGGCCAAGAGCTCGAACACTGTTTCCATCCTAAATATCTCGATGTCACTGTAGATTGAACACTAACATTTAGGAAACACTACATGAGTACCAAGCAGAGAGTAGCTGCACGCAATAACATCCAGAAACTTACTGGCAGCTCAGACCCAAAATTAATAAGAATATCAGCCCTGGCCTTGTCTTACTCAACTGCTGAGCATGCCTGCCCTGTTTGGCATAAGTCTGTTCATGCCAAGCAGGTGAACATAGCAATGAACAAAACATGCAGAAAAATCACAGGATGTCTCAAACCTACACCTGTTGATAGACTCTACAAATTAGCTGGCATTGCCCCCCGCCCCCATGTGTGATGGGAAGTTGCTGCTAACTGTGAGAGAAATAAGGTTAAACACTGTGAAAACCATCCATTGAATGGCTATCAGCTTCCTCCCAGTAGACTCAAATCAAGGAAGAGCTTCATGAGAACCACCACACCTCTTAATGTTCCTCCAGAAACAGCAAGACCATCCCTCTGGGCAGGTAAACCAGGAAATCCCAATTAGATGGTCCCCCACAAGGGTCTGCCTCCAGCAGCAAACCAAGAAAGGGCAACTTGGAAATTCCTGAACAGAATGAGAAGTGGAGTGGGCAGATCAAAAGACAACCTGGCAAAATGGCTCCACCTTGTGTGACTGTGGAGCAGGACAGACAACTTTGCACCTGTATGCTTGTCCACAATGCTCTGCCTCATGTACAGAGGAAGGTTTACAGCTACAGACAATACGGTCACTGTTGCTTGATTCATGTAAAAAATTATTAAGCTGTGTATACTCCTTCTATTTTTATCAGTTTTATACTTATGTATGTAATGCTTTTGACATGAAATAAATAAACCACAAGCATCAGGCAGTTGGATCTATTTGTCCCTCTCATGTTTACTATTCCACAAGAAAGGAGCACACATCAGAAACATGAGCACTTATAAAATACTAAAAAGGAAAAAAAATAGTAACAATATATAGTAAACTTGATCAGGATATGAAAAGTGTATCTACTGCTTATGCTGTTGCTCAAAAGGATGTCATTTCAGGACCAGGACTCAAGCTCCCAGCTTCCAATCAGCTTTACTAGCTGGCAGGTCAAACTATACAAACTGTGAGTCCTATGGGGAAGGGTCCACTGACATTGGGATTGCTATTGAAAGGGATGATAGCAAGAGGGTGGTGCTCCTTTGGGAGTGCCACTTGAGGTGGAGGGCTCATGGAGCAGTCTGCTGGTCTAGAGAGGGGAAAGTGCTTGATTGTCTATTGGCAAAAAGGATTCCCCCCTTTTGTTTATTCTATAGTGATGTCAGAAGCAATGGGCCTGGCTGGCAGACAACGTGTCCTCGGCTACAGCAGACTCTCTCCTTCTAGATTCAATTTGCATCTGTAAGGCTTTTTGCTTAGTCATATAAAATGGGTCTATCTTCCAGCCTTAAAGGATAGTTGAACCTCGACATCAGTGGCTCTCCCAGAAATCCCAGCCAGTTTACCAGGTGTTAGGATTTCTGGGAGTTGAAGGCCAAAACATCTGGGGATCCACAGGATGAGAGCCACTGCACTACATAATAAAAATTCAAATAAAGGGAAGTAAGCAAAGAACTAATACTGCTATTATAAACAAGTGGGAAGGTCTTATCTGTACCCTTTTTGTTGCTTGAGTATCAATGACCAGTAGAGATAATATGGAGTCTACAAGAGACAAATAGCTCTGCTTTCTGCAGCTCTCCTCTGAGGTCACATTCAAATTCAATGGGGGGAAAAGGGTCAAATTAGCGGTCAAGGGGAACATGTATTTCCTGCATTCAATTTGTTATACATTTAGCCTCCTACAATGGAATTTCCTCAGAGATACTTAGCCATCATGCCTGTAGGTTTAGCCTGTGTTTATTGTCTTATCTATCTGTTTGCCTATCTGCCTGTAAAATAAAGCATTACCACCTTACTTTTTATAAAAAGGTTTCAGGGTAGCTTACGAGTAAAATAAATTTAAAAAGTCACCAAGACTTAATTTAAATAAACTAAAAACTAAAAACAGATTCAATGTAATAATGAAATAATATAAATAAAAAAATAAAACTACATACATGAGAGAACTCAAATGATGTCCAGAGACTGAATAAACAGCCAATATTTTCTGATGCCTGTACAAAACCTAGTTGGGCCTCCAAAGGATGGTCATTCCACAATTAGGGCAGTATGGCTGAGAAGGCTCTCTCCCACATTCCCACACAGCCTATGGACCTCAGTGGTGAGACTCAAGAGGACCTCCCACCCAACCTCAATTCTCAGGTGCATATAGGGAGAAGTGTTCCCTCAAGTACCTTGGTCCCAAGCTGTTTGGGGTTTTAAATGCACCACAAGCACCTTGTATTTAGCCTGGAAGTGAATCAGTATTAATTTATTTAATGCATTTATACCCCACCCTTCTCATCCCCGTAGAAGACTCAAGGTGGCTTATATATATAGGCAACTATTAGATGCCAAAACCACACATAATAAAAATGTAAGCATTAAAACAATAATTAAAACCTAATAAAACTTTAAAACCAATTATTTTAAATCACGTGATCCACTATCGTAGCTTGTGGCTATTCTAATTTGTTATAGCACTATTTCATCTTTTCTCATTGCACTGCTATATTACTCATTGATGGTTGAACATCCATATTTTTAGCCTTTTCCTAAAGGTCAGGAGGGAGGAAGCTGATCTAATTTTACTCAGGAAGGAGTTCCATAGCCAAGGGGCCACCTCTGAGAAGGCTCTGTATCTCATCCTTGCCAACCATGCCTGTGAAGGAGGCAGGACCGAGAGCAGGGCCTCCCCAGAAGTTCTTAATCTCCTTGCTGGCTCATAGAGGACAATACATCTGGACAGGTAGGCTGAGACGGAACCATTTAGGGCTTTATAAGCTAATGACAGCACTTTGAATTGTACTTGGTAGCAGACTGGCAGCAAATGACACAACATGAGGGATGTCTTCTCTCTGTATGCTGCTCTGGCCAGTCCATAGTCAAACTGCACATATTCCATACTACATTCCTGCACTGCTCTATTTTTCAAATATCTGCTCCCAGAGCCAGGGTTTGACTCTCTTTCTAAACACTAAGAGCAGGGGGCTGTCCTGATATTGCTAGGGAGGGAGTTCCGCAACCAAGGGGTCTCCACTGAAAAGGCCCTGTCTCTCATCCCCACCAACCATGCTTGTGAAGAATGTGGGATGAGAGCAGGGCCTCCCCAGATGATCTTAATCTCTGTGATGCTTCATAGGGGGCAATACGTTCGGACAGGTAGGCTGGGCCGGAACCATTTAGGGCTTTATAGGCTAAAGCCAGCACTTTGAATTGTGCTCAGTAGCAGACTGGCAGTAAATGGAGCTGACGCAACAGGAGGGATGTCCTCTCTCTGTATGTCGCTCTGGTGAGCAGTCTGGCTGCCACCCATTGGACTACTTGAAGCTTCCAAACAGTCCTCAAAGGCAGCCCCACATACATCGTATTGCAGTAGTCTATTTGGGATGTAACAAGAGCATGGACTACAGTGGCGAAGTCTGGCTTCCCAAGGTATGGGCAAAACCGATGCACAAGTTTTGATTGTGCAAAAGCTCCCCTGGCCACCCCTGAGACCTGGGGTTCCAGTGCAATTATTTTAAGACTGGTATTATAAGCTTCTGATCTTATTTATGGCAGCCTTGTGTAGAGGACATTTCACTATCTTAACTGGAGAGTTACCAGTGAACAGTCTACAGCTAGCGCTCTATTTAAGACTAATGCCAAGCACTTGAGTCCGCTTTGGTCTGCAGCAATGAGGATATTCCTCCATTGGGAATGCAACCCCATCCAGGACAGGCCTGTTTACCCAATTCTAGAGTCAACATTGTTTTATTTTTACTCAGTAATAGCCTTTCAAAACACAGGTAAATCTTTAGAATATATGCAAATATTTGTTCACACACAGTGATGAATTGAATTGCTTCTCCTTGGAATGTTTGTTTGTGTTATATGTAACAAAATTTCAAGTCACAATACCGCATGTTTAAACTGAGGTCATTAAAAGGAAAAAATAGCTCCCTCCCCAAAGAGAAAAGGTCCCACAACAGCAATAATCCAAAACTGAAGCTTACCCCAACGCATCTGCACTCGTCATCCTTGGCAGAGGGGAATAAAAAGAGAAGGAGGAAAGAGAAAGAGGGGGATGTGGAAACAGGTGGAGAGAAGAGTACGAAAAGCAGAGTGAAATATTGTTCGGAGAACCACACAGTCACAATTATTGCCACAGGCACCTGCTGCTGATGGGAAGCACCAGTAGGGATTACTCATGGGAGGGGAGGATTTTCCATACTCCTCATAATTATGAAAGACATTTGCTTTGGAAATATGGTACATTGTGTAAAGACAAAGAAGAAAACACAACTTGTCCACCCTGACTTGAATGGAGCCAATGGAGCGAACAGTATAAACTGACTTTTCAAAATGGCATATTCTTGGGATTATGCACAGAGAGTTGTGCTGTGTTACTAAAGTGGATCTGTATTTTCCCCTTCTTCATTTGTCATTTAAGAGTCTTCTGTCCCCCTAAGATATCTGAGAATTTCATTTTCAGACCAACAACACTTATAGAAGATGTAATGTATTGGCAGTTTCTCCTGTGGGCACTTTGTGGGAATGTATAAACGAACATACAGCCTTGCATTACTCTTATTCAAGTGCAAAGTCCTAGTGGTTTGTGCAACCCAACTTTGATTCAACCCTTTTTAAAGGATTCTTTCAGTCGAGAGCTCTTCAACAAAATTATCTTCACAAGCCTTAAGTTTAATGTAATGGAATTAGATTTTACACTTCACAAAGAGGAAAAATTAGGGGTTACAAAGATAACTTTGTTTGCCTGGAAAATTGTAAAATAAATGCACCACCCTTCTTTTAAATTTTCAGCTGAATGCCTCAAAATAACCAGGGAAAGATGTTCTTTCCTCAGAGCTATGAAAATATACAATTATGTATTTCAAAAATATATTTTGCTTCTGATTATGTAGGCATAGTAAGCACTGCACCGTGGGAACCATAAAAAATCCTAAGGCTTAAATAAAATAAAATAAAATAAACCAGAACATATTTTTGACTGCAGTACCTTTCACTGTTTCCCTGTCAGTTTTAGGAGCATTTAGGTCCCATCTCTGCCTATGCTATGGAAATTTACTAGCCTAATTCTACCATGTACTATCTGTTCACAATAGCAGAGCAGTTAAGCTCAGGTTTTTGACCAAATTGTCCACTTTAGCATAAAATTTTCCATGGGGATTCAAGGAGATCAATAAGATATCCTGATATGGATCTTCCATTATACTTACTTCTGTTCTCTGAAAGTGTTGTTGTATGCCTTTGAGCCATTTTCGGCTTATGGTGACCTGAATGTGAACCTATCATGGAGTTTTCTTGGCTGGATTTGCTCAGGAGAGGAGGCACTTGCTTTTCCTTCCTCTGAAGCTATGAGAGTGTGCCTCACCCAAGATAATCCATTCGGTTTCTATGTCTGAGCAGGGATTTGAACCCCAGTTTCCAGAGTTTTCAAACCATAACTCTCTCATACAGGTTTTTAAAATACTAAAATTCTATTTTACTAAACTTTTAACTTACTAACAAATATTGTTGGCAATGAATCAACATTCTCAGTTGTAATTTTAGATTCCAATCAGATTAGATGATGAATTTAAACAGAATGTACACATACAGAAAATGCAACAAAAGGAACAATGTAATATAAACCATACATATATGAGTATGTCACTATGTAGAATATGTTATTAAATTAAGCAACATATTGTCTCTGAGAAATACTTTTTCTCAAAAATAAACTTGAAATTGTCTCGGGGCCCTTCTACATATCCATATAAGCCTGAATATCAAGGCAGAAAATCCCACAGTATCTGTTTTGAACTGGGTTATCTGAGTCTACACTACTATATATTATAGTTCAAAGCAGATAATGTGAGGTTTTATTCAAATGTGTGGAAGGGGCCTTGGTTATTTGTGCAAATTAATGCTGTGTGGAATATATACTGACATATAGAAACCTATATACATAAATTTTTGAGATATATATATAAGTTTCCAGCTCTAGCAGATAGTTAGTTAGTTAGTTAGTTAGTTAGTTAGATAGATAGATAGATAGATAGATAGACAGACAGACACACACGCACATATACAAAGACACATATAGACATACATATAGAGTTTTATGGATAAAGTTGGAAATGTAAATATTTGTTTACTGTCTAAGTTTAACTTGGTGCAGTATATTCAGTATATAATTTTATGACAGTTATTTAAACTATGCTAGAAAACAGTTTACTTCATGATGGCAAACTGTGTAATTAAAGGCAACATTGTAGCCTCTGCATAGTTACTGACATTTCAAGCGTATCAGTTTATAGCAGCATCTCTGAGCTTGCTACAGATCTATTCACTTTAGTTATTATTGAAATTTACATTTCATCTCACAAAGTCAACTCTTAGGATTTGATAACTTTGAATCTCTTTGAATTGCTTTTCCCTGAACACATATTTCCAAATAAAATGTGTACAATGTATGTTGTCTCAAAGTCAACTGTGTTGCTGGAATATTTTGTTGGCATGGGATATTTTTAAAAACAGATGCCTCATTGAACATACATACCTGTTTTCATGTACCAAAGTATTACACACCTAAAAAGTAGCATGATGGTATGGGCAGGGATTTACATTTTGTGTTCTGCTCAGAGTATTTTGTGTGGTTGACCACACAAACGACTCTGAGCCACCTTTGTAACTTTCACCTTTAGAATTGTATTGTTGATTGTAAGTACACACTGTGTAAATCAAACTTGTGGGAATCATGAAGGTTTCCAGATGTTGTTGTACTCCCCAAAGCCACAGCTGGCATAGCCAATAGTGAGAATGCTTGGGGACAACATATGAAAAGCCACACAATCCCCATTCAAGTATAAACCATGACCGCACACAAAACAGGACAACAGATCCTGGTCTACTACATATTTTCCATTTCTTTGGTATAAAACCTCACTAAAAATCACAGTCAGCTTTACTATTAATATATGAGAACAATTTGATTAAAAGACAGAAAACATATGTCAGTCTTTTGCCACTCTGAAGCACTGCTTACAAGCAGCCATTTTTTTTTAAAAAAAGACTGATATCAAAGCATTAGTTTATGTTCTTCAGTGTATAAGTATGTCAGGCTTCATATTTTCAACTTAAAGTCCATAATTTTAGGCTTAATCACTTTGCTACATCTCAGAATCTACTAAATTCCTCCCTATATGGTGGCAGTGGAAGTGGACGCACACTTTGAAACTTGGAGGATCAGCCAGATGCATCTCCTACATGCCTTGACTATTACAGTATCCTGTCTCACAGATTACTTGCATCCTTTCCTCCCTTAATGAAATTCTGGTTTATATTACTCATGTAGGAGGAACTGATCAATCCTTGGGTCTAGGGTTTAAAAAAATATTCACATGTGAGAAGCTACATTTTGTTTTTGGGTGTAACACTGTTGATAAATTTATAAATGAGGGCTAGTGTCCTTTTAGTAAGTTACAGTGTTGTAAGTTTGGTTTTTGACCACTAAACCATTCCCTGTTCATATTTATAATTGTGGTATTATTGCCATGATTATCAGTGCCCCTGAAACCCATTTTAAAAGCCAGTCAGCTACTCCAAGCAACAGATTTCTGTGGTGCTGGCAAGAAATGATGACAAGACCAGCCCCCTTCTCTTAGCAGGCAACAATGCAAAGAGCAGAAGGTGTCCTGTGAAAAGTTTTGTTGCATTATTACTCACTGACAGGAGGAGACTGGTCACCACATCTTGCAGTGCCCTGCTCACCAGCGTGGCAGAATCCACTGATCAGGATAACTGACTGGCTTTTAAAGTGGGTTTCAGAAGGTAGATAAGGAGATCAGAAGCATAACTATGGTCTTGTAGCTACACCTCTGATGCAGGATCTCAGACAATATTGCCAAGTAGTTTATCTGTTTACCAGGGTGTGGATTTAAATCCATGTGTGCATGCCCAAACATAATGTGTACATAAAAGCAGGAAAAGTAAACAGAATTATATAGATATATAAAATATATATCAATGCAGACACATAAATGCTATTCATCTTTGTTTCTTAATCATTTCCCCAGAAAGGGGAAGTCATTAAATCTTTTAACAATGACAATGGACATCAGATAGAAAATGGGCAAATAAAGAAAAGGAATGAATTTTATTGAAATGAGAAATAATCTCAGAACACAATAAACCCAGCAGCGCAGACATGTGCATTTCCCACAGTACTGAAGCAAGTGAACTACAGAGCTGCAGCAACCCAGATAATAGAAGCAGCACTGAGAGGACAGGGCAATGGATGAGAAGAAGAAGGAAAGGCAAGGGAAATACAAGAGGAAAATGAATGGGCGAGAAAGAAATGTTAGAGAAATAAAAAAAGGAGAGAGAGAGAGAGAGAGAGAAGGAAAGACTAAAGAAAGTCAAAAAAGAATGGGAAAAGAGAAAGAACGGGCTGAAGAAAGGAACAGTGGTTTCAGCTACCAAGACAACTGTGTGCATCTAGAGGGGCAGAATCCTTAAAGATGCAGTATTCCTCTTACAATAAACAAAGTTAACTGTTAAGACATTGACCAGGTACTATTTCAAAAGTGTTATTTCTTAACCCAGCATGGAGATATTTTGATGGGGGGTTTATTTGTTGCACTCCCTTTACTCCTGTTAGTTTCCTGAGCTATTTTTGGCTATTCCTTCCATAATAATGCTTCTATTGACTACACACACACAGTTAGGATTGTGCTCTCTTCATGTTCCTTATGAAGAAGGAAGACCACATATTCCCCCTTTGTCCCCCTTCCCCCATGTGGTTTTGTGTACCCTTCTGTGTTTCTGTGGGGCAGAGCAGAAAGTATTTCGCTTAGTGCAAATAATTCCTGGTTTTACATACATTATATCAGCATCCTTATTATGTAGATAAGCCTTACATTCCTGACCCCAGGCCCATTTTAGACCCACAATGGCACTGGCTTTCAAATCAATCAGCATGTACATTGTGAGTGTTGGGTTGAGTCGAGGTGTGGTGGGGGAGTGTTAGGAAAAATTCATTTTGAGAAAATGGTTTGTTGGCTGAAGTTCAGGCAACTGCAGGGAGATAAAAAGTTAAAAGTAAGTTGTGAAAAAGTCTTTCCCTCATCCAATTGTGCACTGAGAGGCAAGATGAAGTGGCCAAGGGTGGGCTACGGTTTGGCAAGATCTGGTTTTCAGAACTCCATCCTGATGCCGTCACTCCAGGCTGAGATTTGTCTGAAGACTCTGGCTCCTGAAACAGTGCTTGGGGAATCTCTGATGAGCAGTGCACAAGGCAGCAGCTCATTATTTTCCCCTCGCTCGTGAACTTTTCATGAGTTCCTGGCAGTCTGGCTGCAATGCTCTTTTCCTCCAGGCCCTCATAAAGCTTATGTCTTATAAGCTGTGCCAGAATGAGACCATCCATCTGCTGAAGGCAGAATTTGCTTTATCTCCTTTAAAAATAGGAAGCCTGTAACTTTTTTTCAAAGTTTATTCAGTGGACTTTGTCAGTTTCCAAAATCAGGTTCCAAAGCTTACAACATCTTGATTATTCCCAATATTATTAATATTAGAAAAAAATAGCATAGTCACTATGCAGTTATTATGAGGCTGTCATACTTTGGACACATCACAAAGTTCTATGGCTAAGATAATCATCCTCACTAAAGTGGAAAGGAGGAAGATCTACAGATAGTGTGACTCGGACAAGGAAGCTATAGCCTTGAATTTACAACACTTGCACAGGGCAGCTGATGGCTGGTGCTTGGAGACCTCCCATTCATTAAGCCACTATAAGTCAAAGTCAGCGGGATGGTAAATAGCATCACTGATTCCATCCCAAACTCAACCTCTGATCTGTAACATGGGAATAAAAATACTGTCATATGACACAGTGCCATTTTAAGGATCACAGGAAGACAATGTACACAATGCAGCTATAATAGTCCAATGTATTATCACGAGTGTCACATGCACTATACAGTGATTGAGCTCATTTTTTCTCTCTTTGCAGCTTGGACAGACCCTTTAAAAATAAAAAATCAGTAATGAGGCACAGTAAAAAAACCAAAAAAAAAAAACAACAAAAAAACAAAAACAGAAGTGGAACAGAAACTATGCCTTTTAAAATTGGGGCTGAGTGGACTGAGTACAATTCAGAGAAGATCCTGGATGCTGAAGATTGAACCATGGATCTTTTGAAGTTGTCTACTGTGGTGCAGTGAGACTGCAATATATTAAGCTAATGAAGATACTGTATTGTCACTGGATTTAGCATCAATGCTCCTTATGTTACAAGATTGCAAAAATGGATGGGTGCAGCCCACAACTAGTTAAAGGATCAGATATGCTACTGAAAATAATTCTCAAGTATGAATGATTTATCACACAACTATGAATATTTATTCAGATGACTGGGAAAAAGTAGACTCCACTTGAGAATTTTGTCAGTAGCAAACCCGATTCTTTAACTAGGTGGATTTGTATAGTGTTCTGTAATATTGTCACTATATTGAAAAAGACATTTCTTAAAGGCTTTAGAAATAAAGCAACTATAAAATAGAAACACTGCCTTCCACTGTTGAACAAAAGCAGGGAGAAAAATGTAAATTGCAGATGGAATGTTATCTGCTGAAATTCCATTGACAAGGCACCAGATTGTGTGATCTTAAAAGTTAAGCAAGGTCAGCTCTGATTAATAACTGGATGGGGCACACCCTATAAATGCCAGGAACTTTGTGTTATATTTCAAAGGATGCAAGTGGCAACATCACCTGCTAGTATTCTTTGCCTAAAAACACCCTATGTAATTAATGGTGATGCCATAAGTTGTCAGGTGACTTGAAAGCACATACACACTCATAATGAGTAAAACGATGTTCCAACTAACAGCCTCATCTCTATCTGCAACCGGAGAGTATGGAATCCTTTAAAAGTGGTCCAAGGTTGAGCAGAAAAGGCAACTTGATTATTGATGTTCAAGGCAAATCATTTACCTGCAACTAGAGTTAGCTAGCATGGCATATGTAGCACACACATGAGCCAGGCCCTATTTGCCATTGGTTAAATGTTTCTCCATGGTCAACTTTGGCCGCAGTTGCTATACAGAGGCAAAAATATATGTGAAGGAACTCATAAGGGACAATGGGAATGGAGGAAGATTGGCTAGCAACCATTTGTTTGGTGGGATGTTGTGTGGTTTCTGGGCTGTATGGCTGTGTCCTAGCAGCATCCTGATGTTTTGCCTGCATCTGTGGCTGGCATCTTCAGAAGATCTGAAGATGCCAGCCACAGATGCAGGCGAAAGGTCAAGAGAAAATGCTGGTAGAACATGTCCATACAGCCCAGAAGTCACACAATTCTTTATGTGAAAGCCTTTGACAACCATTTGTTTCATCTACACAGAAGCCACTCCTGTTAACTACAAGCACAGACCAGTGCAACCACTCACAAGAGAGGAACTTGTTACCCATATAGTAATCCAAACTGTTGATACAACATAGGAAATCTTAATTTTATTATGAAAGTTGAGGAAAACTGTCATTCCCTCTTCAATGCAATTATTAAAGATATAAAACACCTTTCCTCCATTGCATGTTGTTGCTCTAGCACTATGCGTCTTTTTGTCTGTCTGTCTGTCTGTCTGTCTGTCTGTCTGTCTTTCTTTCTTTCTTTCTTTCTTTCTTTCTTTCTTTCTTTCTTTCTTTCTTTCTTTCTTTCTTAAGCAAATTTGCCCCCAGTGAGGAAGGTAAGTACTGCATCTTTAAGGAATAGCAGTGAGGTAAAGGAGAGGAACAGACTGTTGTTGTTTTATACCTTTCTTCTTTGTTGTATTTGGGATTGGCGTCACAGATATCCAGGCTTTTACTGAACATTGTTTTACTATGACAGGAACAAAGTGAGAAAACAGCGTTACTGATGTGGACATTCATATGAGTTTTGCCTGATGCAGTCCTTGAGACCCACCCAAGTTACCCCATCCCTCTTGAAGAAATATTATGAAAGAAGAAGTCTCGTGCCTTCACTAGTTGGCATTCTGACACCTAAATGATGACACCACATAACAAAATGCTGTCCCAAAGCAGAATCATATTTGTCAGAAATATTTGGTTAGAATTCAGAGGAAGCCACCAGCATCAAACATGGTCTAAAGAATGAAGATTCAAATTAGCAATGCAACACAGCTTCAAATGCACATAGCGTGTGTCTTCAAATGTTCTTCCTCCTCACCCATTACTTATTTTAGTTTTCAAAGAAAGGCCAAAGGAAGCAGTGTGCAAACCCCTCTGTAGACCTCATGTCTGTGGTCTGCATGTAGTTGATCCAAAAGAGACCTGGTCTGAAAAAATTAAAGGATTCCAGCAACACTGTTGAGAATAATTGGAAAGAAGAAATTTCTCACATAAGTTTTCATGGACTACATCCACTATATCAGATCCTGCATCTGGGGAAATGGACTGCATCCCATGAAAACTTATGTGAGAATTTTTCTCTTTTAACTTAATTCCAAATGCGCTATTGGATTCTTCATTTCTTTTCATGTTAAAACTACCCATTTTTTTGAATATCAGGCCCTACTATAAGAAGCTATTTGAGATAATTAGTGAAAAGGGCCCATAAGAAAAATAATTCAGCCTTCTTGATGAAACCAACTTTTCTCTTTCCAGTTCATAATTTTACAAACCAAAGAATGAAGCCTATCGTATCTCTTTTGTGGGGAAATTTATCACAGGAAAATGCACCATGAACATGGCAGCTGCTATGGCATTGATCTATCTTGGGGGAGATGAAAGGCTGAATATATATATATGGCAAACAAGAGCAATTGAACATCCCATCCCCCGGGAGAAAGAACGAAAGGAAATGATGTTTGTAGCAAGCAAAACAGCAATGGAAGAAGCAGCATTTTCAATACAGTAGTGTTGAAACCAAGCTGGCTTTTGGTATTTGGGTGAATTCATCTCTTTCACAGGCAACTTCCTTGATAGCATGAAGGGAAGACACATGGAATATGCAAACAGCCAGAAACAGGAGAAAGTATAGCACCAAAGAAACAAAAGAACACTTTCCCCTAAGTATATCTGAGGTGACAACCAGCAAGATTAAGACAGACCAGCAAAAAAGGTACTTCTGTCCTTGTGTCTCAGACAGCCAGGAAGACAAAGCAGATAAGCAAAATATTTTAAGCGCAGACTGACAGAAAGCAATGGGAGACAGTCATGTAGTACCTGTGGATGGCGGGAGAGAGGACAGCCTTTTCACTGGATTAAATGAAGGTCAAATTTAGTTCTCTTTTCCATTTTGGAAGCTATGGATGCACACTGCTGTGTATTATAAAACTGATGTCTGAGATACAACACCCATTGGTTCTCTAGCAAGCACTTCTGTGCCTGATAACATAAAATCCGCATTGGATGTGCCATTACCTACCTATATCCTGCAAAATAAATAACCACTGTGTATGAAAGCGTAAGTTAAAAGAAAGTAGCATTCCCAGGAAATCATATTTACTAAATTTGTAAGAACGGGTAGGTGAAAGAGGGAAGGTTGTTGTTCTGAAATGCTTTAGTTTGATCCGATAAAACAAATAAAATATGACCTGATATTCAACTTCTATTGGAGTTTTGCCTATTTAACTGCTAGAGTTCACCCAAGGAATCCTACTCATGGTAGCTTGGTAAGGATTCTGAGAATTCTGTATTTGGGATATATTAGAGTTTCTAGCCTTTTACCACAGATCTATCATTCTGAGATTCTCTGGAAAATGGAAATTAATATTAAACCATTTCTCTCTGTTGTGCTATTCTTCAAAGCAGCACCTTCAATAGATGGAGAATCTGCAAGAAATTATTTTCCATGGCCTGCTTAGTGCTAAGTTGCACGACAAAGTGACCATAACATTAAAAAGCCCAGTCCTGCAATACAACATTCCCACTGTACACTGTATACTCACTAAACTATAAATTCTTCTCTGATCTGTTATGTGTTCTCTTTCTCAGCCCACAATCCCATATATAGTAGCTGTTATGTAGAACACACACTTAGTAGCAGTGCTCCACATTCCCTATATTAACATCTGGCATACATTCTGATTTCCTCCAACCTAGAATTTTCTTCATGTCTGTCCTTTTGTAAAGTGTTTTGAGACTATAACATGAAAAGAATCTCTCTCAGTATTTGTCAGCTTAAGAATTTATATTACTGTGTTGTTGCTGTTGTTGTTGTTTTTGTTGTTGTAGTATATCTTCAAGTCTTTTTAGACTTATGGAAACTCCTACTTCATAGGGGGCTTGCCTTTGCCTTCTTATGAGACTGAGAGAGTGTGATTTTCATGACTGAGCACAGATTTGAACCTTGGTCTTCAGAGTCCTAGTCCAATGCTCCAATGGCTCTCTAGTATTGCTTAATGTTACTATTGTTTAAATATTAAACATAAACAAATAGGCTATCAAACTCATTCATGCTGGTGAGAGATGCAGAGTTATAATACTGACAATTTCTTGACAATCCACCACATAATCAATGTCTCAAAGCAAAAGGTAAAAGGAATTCACAAGTTCTTTTAATATCTTAAGGCAAGTTCTTCTTAAAATCAAGCCGTGATATTCTCCCTAATTCTAGATTCCTTTTGTAGCTGGTGACTTCTACTGTATTATACCCTATCTAGGCAAATGCCTGATTCAGACTATTGGAACACAGCACAGCATAGTAACTTACGAAAGAGACTAACTGAAGATTACTTTTTTGAAGTCTCATATTGCAATACCAGAATGCTTGAAAGGTAAGTAAATTTTTCAACACCAAGATATACTTCAGATGTAGCTGATATAATCACTGATTATAGGATAGCAGTAGTTTAGCCTTAGCTCATCTTCACATCTTACGCCCTATAATCCTCAGCCACTTTTTATTGATTGTATTTTTATATCTTTGTTTACCATTCACTGTCTTTTGTTGTAATGTTTCTTAGAGATAAAATACATGTACCAACAAAAATCAAAAGTGGTAAACAGCCTAACAGCTGAAGCATGTGTCCATGCTGCAAAATAAAATTGAGATAGATGCTGAAAAAAATGTACAAGCAGACCTTCATATTCCCCTTAATCTTTGCATTATTAGGGTTTTCAGACCCATTCAGATCGCTCGCAAAAGACCATCATATTCAAATTTTTGGAAATGCTATTTTTTTGCCATTTGTATTTCTTTGTAGCATCATGGCATGGCTTTCCTCAACCTGTGACAGGTCTGAAATAATACATTTCTATATCTTTTGAGAAATACGTTCACACTGTACACTGAAAGCAGGAGTTACAATTTTATTTTAGTGATGGTTACCTGGTCAACAGAGTTCTCACCAAGTATATATGTAACTTTATTTTTTTTTCTTATCACAGTTTAGAAAAATGCAAGAAAAGAAGAATGGCACATGCTCCAAAGGACACCTGGTGATTAATTTTGTTTCCTACCAAACTTGTCATGGACTATGCTGGGAGAACCTATTCTCTTGCTGCTGCTCCTTAGTGCAAACATCTGTGCTAATTGCTATGGCTTCTGAATCTCGAAGCAAATGGCAAAGAGGTCTTCCGGTCTTTCAGCTTTGGGAACCACCTACCTCTGTCCATGCTGTGCCATTTCGATTGCTCTACGAGCTGGAACTGGGGATCCGCCATCAGTCACGCTCAGGACCTCCATTGACTTCCTCTCTGGTCTTCGCTTCCCATGTCTGTTCAGCATTGGAGAATCCACACGCTTTCTAGGAGGATCTTTATGTAGAGACAATGCAATCAATTTAGCATGGATAGAAATATTTCTGGTGTCTCTGTCTCAAACAACTTGCTATTTACGATGCCCCTTACCACATTTTCTGAATAGTAGAAACAAAGGAACCCCTGTGAAAAATGGGAAAAATACTCTTTCCCATACTACTAAATCTCATGCCAAAATGTAAGTATCACTCAACAGCTTTTCGTGATTGACTTCCAGCATGATTAATACAATTAAATGACATTATCAGAAATTACAAAAGCAGGAAAAAAAATGGTAATTTGAGGAACTGCTGCTCAAATAAAATCTTTTTTGTTTGCCCACAAAGTTCTACTTTTCTGTTTTATTTTCAGATTTCAGATTTTTCCACATTACACCAGACCACCTGGAAGTCTGAAATGTATAGTGCTAGTTTAGATAAGAGATTTGGTATTTTCCCCCTAAAACTAACTACTTAAAAGTTCCGTTTTAGATGGCCATCCCAGATACAGTGTCAACTTGCATTATAAAGGCCTCTCATGGGGTGGAGGCCCAGTAGAGCATTTCTGCTGGATAAGTGAGGGAAGAGATTAACATCAGCAATTTTCCCCAGCAGTCACCTGTGCCCTCCCATCAGATTTAGAGCAATGGGAGATCCTTCAGAATACTGGAGGATATTGTGAAGGGGGCTGCAGTAAAAAGACAAATTGGCAAAGATTACCTCCCACCACCTTCCACTACCAGCAGTATTCTGACTGAAATGTGGAATTAAAAAAATCTGAATCCAATGCCATGAATATAGAAACATTACCTGCTTGAGCTCTTATAATAAAACACAGGAAATGTGAAATGTGAAATCTGACACTGGAAGATGCAGCACAGAATTCTGCGTCTTTTATGTGACACAGCCCTCCTGAAACTCAGAAATTATCCCACAATTCTCGACCCACTTGTCTTTTCAATATATTCTGAGTGTCATGCAAACTTCATTTTATACTTAATAATTTATCATCCTTTGACAAAAAAAAATCAATTATATCACCAGTTTTACCTATGTGGCCCTTCATGCCACCTAAAAGCTCCCAAAGCAACTTTACAGGTATAGAAATGGAGCACTCTGTTGTGTGTGATTCTCCCTCCTTGGTGCTCTTTAAAGCACTATTTCTATCGCAAAGCATTTAAAACAGGAGACATAACTTTAAAAGTCTTAAAAAGAGAAAACGACTCTATTGTTGTTGTTCATTCGTTCAGTCGTCTCCGACTCTTCGTGACCTCATGGACCAGCCCACGCCAGAGCACCCTGTCGACCGTTACCACCCCCAGCTCCTTCAAGATCAGTCCAGTCACTTCAAGGATGCCATCCATCCATCTTGCCCTTGGTCGGCCCCTCTTCCTTTTCCCTTCCACTTTCCCCAGCATCATTGTCTTCTCTAGGCTTTGCTGTCTCCTCATGATGTGGCCAAAGTACTTCAACTTTGTCTCTAGTATCCTTCCTCCAGTGAGCAGTCGGGCTTTATTTCCTGGAGGATGGACTGGTTGGATCTTCTCGCAGTCCAAGGCACTCTCAGAATTTCCTCCAACACCACAGCTCAAAAGCATCAATCTTCCTTCGCTCAGCCTTCCCTAAGGTCCAGCTCTCACATCCGTAGGTTACTACAGGGAATACCATGGCTTTGACTATGCAGATCTTGGTTGCCAGTGTGATGTCTCTGTTCTTTACTATTTTATCGAGATTGGACATTGCTCTCCTCCCAAGAAGTAAGCGTCTTCTGATTTCCTGGCCACAGTCTGCATCTGCAGACTCTACTACTCTATAGTCTTTGTGAAACTGCACCACCATGGAATAAAGATACACAGAAACTCAACAAACTACCCATCACTTTGACAGGAAGAAAGAACAACATTTGGCTCAATACAAAATATACTTTGAAGAACGGGATCACAAACATGCAATGTATCAAAAATAAGAGGGTCTTTAAAAAGTAAAAAATAGAGTAGAGTCTACAATAGACTGGCACACACAGGGATTAGTAGATGGATAAATGTAGTTTTTGGTTGCTTGAGAGTTACTATTAAATACTAGCCTAACTAATACTATACCCCTTACTATAGCACACCATAAACTCTGTATTGAGTTTTATTAATACTGATAATTAAAAGAAAATAAAGACAAACTTAACATACTGTAACAATTTTATTGTTTTACTATATTATAAAAACAGCTATTGAAATTTAAAGTATTATTTCTTCAATTTTTTGGTGATTGCCTGAGAATTCTGGTTGCTCAAATTCCAATTAACTGAGAGACTATATTGTACATCACACTATAGTATGACGTACAATCGCTTTAGCATTATCTCATATTTTAAATCCTGCAACTCATGTTTTCCAAATTTGTCCCTGTCCCTCTAGAAAATCAAGCCCTACATGGCAACTGTTCAAGCAACTGTTCTCTCATCTTTGTTTGGGAACACAGTTAATGGCTAATGATGAGATATTAATCAGAAACATTATTACTCTCAATTAAACTTTGCTCTACTTTCCCAGAGATGCTGTTAGGAGCAAAGAACTGAACTCTGTTTCCCTTGGGGAAAGCAATACAACTCAGACTTGAATAATGCGTATGAATGCTAAAATATGACAAGACATCACACAAATATATTTTGCTCAGAGATAAAGCTAGTGCATTCAGGGAAGACTTTTTTCATTCTGTATAAAGAAATCCAGACAATAGTTTGTATTAGGATGGGAAAAATGGTATGATATAACCTTGGGGTATGAGAAGTGGGAGGAAAGATCGCTTCAAAGAGCTGAGGAACAGTATTACACTTGTCTGCACAGGAAGTGAAAATTCAGCCACTTGAAGGATTAGAAATAAAAGGATTCCTTCTTCTGTTTGTGTCAAAACATGTATCTAAATCAATGCACCATTCTTTAGGGAGATCACTTTAAGAAATCAGAAGCACCACATCAGAATAGACACTTTTATAATTTCCAACTGTCTATTAAGTGAGATTTAATGAGAGAAAGAAAAAAATGTATCATTCAAATTCATCTAAAACACTGGGGATGCTTTCTTTCTTCTTCTTTTGCACAAATATACTAGGTATGAGATGATTCTGAGATGGCAGCAATCTAAAACTCCAAGTACACAAGAACTCCCACCTGCACAGTTGTTGTTTTTTAAATAAATAAATAAATAAATAAATCAGTGGATACAGAAGAGATGGATATGCAGGCCTGAGCCCTCCACTACTAACATGGTTTTGAAAGTCCTTCCAGTCATGGATTTGGAAACTGCAAGGAGCTTTTTGGTCAACTCCTATATTATAAAATTTACCACTAACCACTAATTATCATATGACTACCCCCCCCACCCCTTAAATGAGCATACTACAAAAATGAACGGCAGATGCACGTGTGTGTACATATATATATATACACACACCTATTTCGTAGATATACCTATTTCGTTTCTAGGAGGAAGATCCTCATCCTCATGACTGGGATATCTCTCTTTCCGATCGAGGAGAAGAAAATAAATCATTTTTTCTTGATTTTCTCTGGGGAAAAAAATAACATTACATCATAATCATCCTCATTCAATAAAGTATTCCAGGTTGCTGAAGATTAACCCTAATGATGATACAGTAGAACCTCAGTATCTGCAGGACTGGTATTTGCTGTTTCATTTATCCACATATGACAAAATATGTACACTTTGGGTACTTTCTAGGTTCTCAAGCCCAACTCTATGGTGTTCATTTCAGTAGGGTGTGCTATTATCAATGGTTTTGCGTTTTCATGTAAAACCCAAGAACATATTTCCCATCTCTATGGTGGTCAATTCATACCGTATTTTAAATTCTGAAACTAATACATGATCACCACAATATCTCCCCCATTCAACTCTCCCCCTATAACACATCTTCCCAACCCAGAAGGGTAGCAATAAGCATTCTCTAAGATCTCCTGAGGTCTACTACTGTGAAACCAGCTATGAGATAACAGTGGGAGGCTGTTCTCCACTAGTCAAGAAATGGCTTATATTGAAGGAGGAGCAACAGCAGAGGAAAGTTGTGGTAGTTTGGGGGGGGGGGGAGGGTAGATGAAAAGTTCTTAAAGAATTCTAACATATGCAGTGACTAAGCAGTGAGTTAAACCGGAGTAAGGTGGAGTAATAGTGTTGTCATTCACTAACAAGATGCTATCCATTATCGGAATAGCCATACCTCTGTTAATAACTGCTCCTTGAAAAACAGACTGTACATGTCTCACATGAGACAAACATTAGCATGCATAAGATTGTAGCTCCCATGGGAACAGGACATTGAATATATGCTAGACTTTATTATGAACTTTAAAGAAAGTTCCCAAGACTTTGAACATATCTTAAAATTGCAGTTCAGCAAGGAAAATGGCTTTTTAAAAATTCTAACTGATATTCTCTGCCCTGTTGATACAAAAAACATCTGCAATAGGGCTGGGCGGGTTCGTTTCATAATTTCGTAATTCGTTAAAAATTCGTTATTTTTTTATAACGAAGCGATAATGAACCATTCAGGAGCAATTAAAAAACGAAACGAATTTTTAAATTCGTTTCGTAATTGTTTCGAATTCGTTTTGTATTCGTTTCGTTATCGTTTTGAAATCGTTTCGTTATTATTTCCGCATGTCTGGGGCAAGTTTTATAGTTGTTGTTTGTTTAATCAGTGAAAAAAAATTATAAATATCACACCAACAGTCAACAACAGAGGGAGAGGGAAGCTTCAGAAGTTCCCCCTGTCCCATTTGGAGGTTTTTTTAGCGTATTGCGTGGTCGCGTCCGCCATTAACGAATCGATTCGTAATTGTTTCGTATTGTTTTGTAATTTACGAAATTTCGTAAATATCGAACTTTTTAAAAGAAAAATTTCGGAATTCTTTTAAAAATCGAAACGCAAAACCCCCCAAAAAACGAATCGATTTTAGAAACAAATTTTTCCGTGGTTGCCCAGCCCTAATCTGCAACTATCGCTCGCAAGGATTTATTCAAATGTGCAACATAGTATGTTAGGCAGCCTATATGGACTCATAATTGGAGAGTTATATGCACGTCAGACTTAAGGCTGTCAAATAAAATTACCTTAAGTCAGGAGATGCCCTTTTGAATATCCTGTATGTTTAGAAAATGGCCTCCATTACAACCACCTTTTCAAATATTTGTTCTGCCTCCTAATGTTTGGATTTTTATTGCAAATTGGTTTATGTTTTTGTCCTTTTGGAACAGAAGATGTGGAATATAAACAGAAAAGAATGCAAGGACAAAGTCTCATATAACTGCAGGCTGAAGATGCTCAAGGATTCAATCAAGGTGTTGGTGTGGGATAGTGCCTGAAAGGCTAAGGGTGTGTCATTTCTTTGCACCCTCCTGGTGCAAGAAGGAATGTTATGGTGCCCAGGAAAGTTTTATTTTATTTTTACAGGGAAATTTGGGCTTTGGGGGAGCGGTTGGGTGCCCTCTCATTTTTTGGGCTCCTGGAGCCTGAAAAACCAAGATGGCTGTGTGGATTGGGCCCAGGAATCCTGTGACTTGTTCTCTGGGTCCAATCCACAGAGGGCTCACACCTGTTAAGACCCAGATCTTAACAAGTATTTAATTAATCTGAAACAAACCAGGGAAACCCTGGTTGGTTCAAAATTACTTCAGTTTTAAAGGACGTGTTGTTTGGATGCCTCCAGTAAAACCAAGACAGGTCTCACTTTTTTGGGTCTATCTAGATAGGCCCTAAGCTTCAAAGCAGGATTTCTCTATTTGAACCAGACAGTTCCCACAAAGTTGTAAATGGCCTTAAACTTTGTGGCCACTTGGAAAATAATACCTCATGTTACAGAATTGTTGCAAGGATTACTGCCAGTTAATGCATATGAGGTACTTTGAGCACTTGAATACACAAATGTTAGAAATTATTGGGGATTTCTTGGACTTCTCAACTGAACTACAGCAATGTGGTCTATGTGGGGTTTCCACTGGAGATGCTCTGGGCACTGCAGTTTATAAAGAATGTTGCTGGCTAGATACCAACACAGACAGTGAGAGATTATCAGTGCGCCCTTCTGACCTACCACACTTGGCAGACCCTTCACAGTGTTGTCACCCTCGCTGCAGAACACTACTCCATCAGAGGCCCACCCCCACCCCAATGTTCTTGCCACAGAAATGCCAGTTAAAGGCATATTTGTTGTTATGAACTGTTGGTGCATAAGCAGGTAGTCCACCTATTTCTAGCTACAAGATTTTTTTCTTCTATTATTTTCCTGGATTTTAAAATCTGAGATTTGCAATCTGTGATTTGAGTTACACTATTACAATAGTTTCAAAATCCTATCTTCTGTTGTATTCGATGATCCTTCCCATACAGCAAAGTAAAGGATGAATGCTTACTCTTCCGACAGCAGGTCCTGTAAGAGTTTATTTCTGTCACGAAAGCAACCTAACGAGTGCATGCTATCCAAAACATCAGGATCAATGTCCTCCAAGGAAGGGAGAGAACGAATTTGCACTTTTCGAGGAATTGGTTGTTCGGGTTCTGGCTCATTCTTACCCCCTCTGCAAAAAAACAAAACAAAAAACAAAAAGTACATAAAGTCAAACATAGCAGCATTCAGAGTAACAAGAAGACTACAACCTCATCTATCTTCCCAAGTTCTCCTACAGCTTCCAAATTCAATAAGAGATTAAACTTTTTATATCTTCCAGACACTGCTGTTTAAAGAGTAACTTCATTTGATATATCGGCGATATTGCAGAATCACCAAAGGAGTATTAGGGTGTAACTAGATATGACTTTTATTGTGCCTTTAGCCTGCATGGTTCCCATACTTTTATCAGGAAATTACCATGATGGAATATTCCACTTGTAAACCTCCCATGTTTTCCCACCCTTCCTTGTCCTCCTCTTCCTTGATTCCATAAAAAAATCCAATAAAGATGGATTGAATATGTAGTTCTACAATGTTCTGGTAGCACTAAGAGCCATCCATCTAGAAGTGCCATAAGAGCTGTGCAGTATTTCAAGGCTATATGTTTGTAAATGGCATGGCAAACTATTCATGATGCAATTACAAGTGTTGATCCAAGAATAAATCAAACGGTGGGCAACATGACGAGAAAGTATAGCTCTGTTTATAGATGAATAATTTCTCAAAGTGTGAACTGTGAATGAAATATCACTTCCAAAACCTCTGCTCAAATAAGTGTACATCAGAAAGAGCTTGTGTGGATGGTTGTATAACTTCTTTATTTCATGGGATTAGTGTTTCAATAAGGATATCCCAATGAAGCATTTAAATGCAATCTAATTTATTTTGTTTTCAAATACAATATTTCAAAAGAGATATTGTATTCTATACTTCAATCTCTTCAGCGAAAGGCCATTTCAAGTGGGAAATGCAATTTTATTTAGTGGCCAATATCTCTAGTTTCACATAAACAAAGGGGGGGGGGTGCATCTAGTTAATCTGGAGAAATACAGCTGGTTTTTTTTCTTTTTAATAACTGAAAGAGATGAATGTTTCAGCATTGGGGAAGATAAATACGAAGTCTTCAGAAAAATAAAGAAAGAAGAAAAATTCAAACAGCACCTCAGCTGGCTGGAGATTGTTGGAGTTGTAAATCAACATATGGGGCAAAGAAAAGCTTTGCAGACTTTACAGAGAACTTCCAATGAATGATATCACTACATACATTAATAGATCCATGCACAATAAAAAGTCAATATCATAAACATGGTGCACATTTGAAGGGAAGAAGGAGGCTGGGTATGTGAAAGGCACATTTCGCTTGTAAATGATTTATTGTTTCATTTGAGTGTGGTTTTAGCTCAAAAATGTCATAAAGATGCTCACATATTTCCTCTGTAATTTTAAGATGGCTATTGTGAGTGACTGTTTGGGTATAATGAAAAGAAGGAAAACAGTGTTCATAGGGCTCTGCAGGTATTGATTTAAGCAATGGCCAGGGAGAGCAAGGAAAGCTTTAGTTCTTCTGCTGCTCTTAAGGCTTCCCAGATTGGAATCCTGGGGCAAATTGACCAAAGTTCATTTACAAGTTTTGGCTTCCACAAAAATAATCAACTTTAAGATAGTTTTTCAAACTTCAGAGAAAAGTTACTTACATATACCATATGTGCTTCTGAATGTGTTCTAGCTACAAAGAAAAAGAAAACAAAAGGAATGAGTACCACACAAAATACCCAATGCCTTAATTATACCACAGTGCATTGGGTTTTCTAGTCTAGTGAATGACAGAGAACAGAGGCATAAATCAGAAGTGAGCCAGAAATAAAGAAATGTGGATTGGAATAGTCCCAATTCATCTCTAGTCTGGATGTGAGCAATTCTTGAAGGGAAAAGGGATATATTGTCGATCAAGAGACCGTAGAGGGCTATTTACTTTCACACACACACCTTGCAAAAATGTTTTCCCCAAAATGAGCTAGGCAAGTATGTAAGAGGCATTTTCTCTGTATTTTGATCCCCAGGCCATCTTCAGTCTTCTCCTTCTCCTCCTCCTCCTCCTCCTCCTCCTCCTCCTCCTCCTTCTTCTTTGCACTCACAACCACTTTTCATCTGATATTTTTTATGCAACCCCAGGTATACAGGTATATAAAATAGGCATACAAATCAAACATTTACTGATAATAAATTACAAAGAAATTTATTTCAAACCAATTCTTTGGTGTACATATAATTTTATCAGTTTGTTGTAAGCTGCCCCGAGTCCCTTTGGGGAGAGGGGGTGGGGTATAAATTATGTTTATTATTTTTTATGCCAGGAAGAATTGGAACTAAGATCATCTGGGGAGGCTCTGCTCTTAGTTCCACCCTCTTTGCAAGTGCAATTAGTGGGGACAAGAGACAGAGCCTTCTCGGTGGTGGCCTCTCTGCTGTGGAACTCTCTACCCACCGACATTAGATTGGCCCCCTCCCTCTTGTCCCCTCCAGTGACATCAGAAAGGCCTAATCCTTTCTAGGTTTTAGAAAAAAGTTAAAGACATGGCTTTATACACAAGTGTTCGAAGAATAAGTGACTATAGGCTTTGACAGAGTTTGAATATGGGCTATGAACAAGAATCTTGAACAAATGGAACTCTGCACTTTATATGTTTCAATCTGTTTGATGTTTTAATGTGTTCAATGTGTTTATTGACTAATTATGAACTGGAGGGGGTATGTTATTATTTTTACTGTTGATTTTGCTGGTATTGAATTGTACTAGAGTTGTAACCACCTTCAGTCCCCCGAGAGGGAGAAAGGCAGGGTATAAATGAAGTAAATAATCTAAATAATAAACTATCATACATGTGACCTTTCTCATAATTAAGTGATAATGGAGTTACATATGGCTGCCATAAGATAAATGTAACACCCATACTCACCATGTTATGTACTAGACTACATGCAGAAAAAATGTTTCAGAAAGCATCTGGTGCTGAAGCACCATAGGATTTACCACTCGAATCATTGAGTAGGTGAGGTGTTGGAATCAATTATACTTAATTACTCCCATTTCTGTTTGACTTGTTGATGCCATTTCTGGGCTGCATTTGTAACACAAAGAAGCCTGGCAATTTGCCTGGTTCCCTCTCCCAGGTGAAATCCTGTTTCTTTCAGAGCTCCAACTTAATCACTTTTGGCTGTTGCTCAGCATCATAATATATTCCTCTTTGCCTTTCTACCTGCCTCCACTGGAGAGTGCGAAAGGGGACAACATGCCAAAACTTGCATGGCACACAGGGATTTCTTTGGAAATGAAACTGACTGAGAAGCCGACAACTCCAAGGAGTGAAACAGTCAAGGTCTTTACCACCAACAAAGCTAAACTATAAATAGGATTGCAGTAACAGTCACGACTGCATGCTGAAACTACATGCCAGAAGTTTTCTTGTGGTGTCAAAAATAATCAGGTCAAAAAAAACTTTCCACTTTTCTCCATGAAGGTCAAACATAGCAGTTGATATACCCAAGCTAGAAGTCGTCTAACAGAGGAAGCAGACTATTTGGTGGATAGTGATTACAAGTGAAGGCAACTAAAAACAAACTGCTGAGTTTACAAAGCAGTATAAGAGCAAATAGCACATTGTGCAGATGGATATCTACAAGGTGTGACCTCAACATGGAAAAATAACTGGAGCAATGGGCAGGCCCTCTTTGTGCAAGTATGGGACTAGAAAGCCAATAAATTGAGCAAAGATAACCAAGGTAGTTGTTCCGATCTCCTTACTTTTCACTACATTTCCAGACTAATAAGAACTGTTGAGGTGAAACGTGCATAAATTAGTGAGTGAATGGGGAGGGGGGGGGGGCTGACACAATGCTGCTTTGAGACTGAGAGGAGGTGGCTCTCATAGACTGGAGGCGAATCAAAGGCTTTTGTGTCTTATATAACAATCACCTTGGAAAGCTTGTCTGAGCATACTTTTTTTTTTAATGAGATAGCTTGTTCAGCATGTCAGGGATTTTCCTAAATCAAACATATATTAAATAGAAGTCAGAACAGTCAGAATTGAAAATGATGAATCTCCTTTTGTAAAAGGAAATATTAAACCTTCTGCTCCTAATTAAGTAGCAAACATACTCTAATTCTCTTTGGCTTGGCTGAGAATGAAGATGCAGGGATAGGGGACTTCTGCCCAATCCTGCCAACTTCTATAGGAACTCTAGAAACAAACAGGAAACTCTCTCTTATTTCCAATCAGTGATTGGGGGTAAAAGTTTTCAGAGTACAGTGAGTACTCAGAATGTAGGGTACATACACAAAAATAATGCCTGCCTTTATAAATGTTATATGAATATTTGTAAGTGCATGACAATGGTTTGTGTTTGTGTGTGTGTGTGTGTGTGTGTGTGTGTGTGTGTGTGTGAAAATGCCAGGGGACATATCCATTGGTGGCATGCAGCCACTTTGACATCAGGGGACACCATCCACCACTGACTGTTATCTAGATTTAATTGCACTCCAATACTATGATGATATCATCCATGCCTGCTTGGTGCTTCCAAAGAGCTTCCTGCCTTTTTCTTTTTTCAAAAGATACAGTAATTAATTAAATCTTTGTTGTTTTCATCTACTTTAAAGTGACAAGGAAAGGTTACAGGAGGGCAATTGATTCTGAGAAGAAGCCAACTCCAGGCTTTTGCTATGCAATGTAAAGGAGGGTGATGCTCATTGGGAATTAATCACATTCTTTCTGCCTTAATTTAAAATGTTGTGTTTAAATGATTGTTGAAGTGACAAAGGCATTTAACAGCCCCTCGCAAAAGGATTTTCCCTCTCTGCTAGTGCATACTAAACGTAATGCCATTTAGGGGAGAAGATTTTAAAATAACATGGTACCATAATACCTAGCACAGCTTAGCATGTTAAGCACATGTGTGACAAAACAAGCTATAGAGAAGAGAAGGAAAATCAGGCCATAATTTAGCAGATGTCCAAGCTATTACAATTCCAGGGTTTTCTCAGTAGATATACCCAGTTTACACAATGATTTATTTCATGGCATTTGCTTTCACTCACATACTGAAGCCTACTTTATTCTGGCAAGTTTTGGTTACATATACTATATTTTACAGTTTGAGTTTAATTGCTAGCTCATTGGTGCACTATAGTTTTGAGTTATGGACTGCCTCCTGGTTAGGGTTGCTAGATGCCAGGATTTTACACAGAATCACCAATTTTTATGTGTGAACTTCATGCAAGACATGCAAGTGCATGCAGTAAGACATGGAGTACACAAGGAATACTTTCCCATCTGGGCTGTGGTTACCTGAAGCCCCAGATATAACCAAATGCCATTGAATTAGTTTGGGTCCAGAACACCATAGAGTTGTATTGGAAGATCTGAAGATTCCTAAAGAGAATTTGCTAGGTCCTCCAACACAAAAAGTGTGTTTTTAAAATTTTGTCTAATAGGGACATTAATTTTCTCCATATTCTAATTTTTTTGATAATCAAACACAATACCGTAGGCAAAAAGACTAATGGAATAGTTCTAGGATGTTCCAAGTATGGCACATTAAGAGACAGAGAACAGAAGTAATGAGCTAAAATAACACACCGAACTACAATAAATAACATCTTTAGGGAAAGAGAACGTAATAGCTTTTATTGCAAAATGAACATAAGATGAAAAAATAATTTTACTTCTTGTGGCACAAGTACATTCTTGTTTCAAAGGTTATTTCTAAAGAGCTTTTAAAATAATCTTTATAGGCACTTTGATAGAAAATTTATATTATTCTCTCTCAAACAATCTAGTATTTGAAAAGTGAGTATGTAGCAGACATGTTGCTATAGATGGGTAAAAGTAGAAAGAAGAGAAGAGATGCAGCAGATCAGTTGTAAAAAGAAATTGTACAGGTTGTTAAAATACTATCTTTTAGGGATAGCCTGCCCCAGTCTGATATTTGCAAGATGTTTTACAGTGACTAATTCCTCCACTCTCTACCAGCAGTCAGATTATGGGATCCATACAGGTATTTTTCCCTTGCACTTTCAGTTTCCCAAGTTAGGAAGATTAGACCCAGATGGTTATCTGAGTCTGAAGGATGCTATGGTCTGATATTCTGGAGGCAATCAATCTAGGGCACCCCGATTAAGAAAAAGGCAATAGATATCTTGGAATGTCAAAGCCCTAAGATCTGGCATGAATGTCATCTCACCGTTAGCCGTTTCGAGGCATCCACTTCAATCATCCCCCGTAGGAGATTCTGACAGTCTGGGGGGATGAAATGTGGCATATGGAAGACACCACGTTTCACTTTCTCCAGCAGCTGCCGCAAGTTATCGTCATCGAATGGGAGGGCACCCTAGAGCACCATAGTCAAGGGAAAGGAGACAAAAGTAAAAGAAGCAGGGAAGGAAGTCAATGGTCATTGGGCAAAACCCATGCAAAAATAAAATGGAGAAAATGGGGAACATTAAGGAGATTGGTTCATAGACAAAGACTGAAGACATGAACAAATATTATAATGTCTCACATCAGTATATCCTTTTACCTATTCTAGAATAAAAAATAATGCCTAGTTCCATGTAGTTATTTTTTAATTTTAATTAGCCAGGAGGAAAAAAAAGCACACCATTGTAGGTTTTCAGAAAATGTATCTATAAATACAAAGAACTGCTCAAATTCAATAAAGGTTGCAGTCACAAAACTCTGGTCTTCTGGCAGCCCTCCTGGGCAAAGTTTTAACAGCAGATGTGTTTATTTGCTCCTTCGTTCTGATCTCCTCTAGACATAGATATATTTATAACAAACACTCAGTGTCTGCTTTTCAGCATCAGCATTTTTCACCTTAGTAAATGTCAAATAGCTAGAAGGAACTTCAACTGACCAAAATGTAACTTGAGATTCATGCACAGTAATAATAAAGGGAACAATGAATTTGAGTTTCTCAGTTAATCTAAAATTAAGACAAAAAGCCAGTGGATGAAATAATGGCATGCTTAGAAACATTTGTGGTACCAAATAACCAGTCTTTTTCTCATACTTGCTTTCATCATCCGATAACAAAAAAAAGAAAGACTATTTTTAAGGCTAGCCAACATTTGATTAGGTCCATAGCACACAAAAAAATTTATTATATGACTCATTCTATATTTTTATATAGACTTAATTAAATCAAATTTATATTTTAGCTACAAAGTGTCAAGTCTAAAACACCTTAAAATGACTCTTAATTAGTAATTTAGTGGTCACAAAATAAATACCACAACACCTGTTAGAAACACTTGAAAACTATGACAATACACCTTAACAGAATACTCCATTGATAAATTTTGGTGGACACTCAAGAATGCCAGTCCAGTCTTTTTTGCCCCATTGTGCTCCTTATGTATGTTTTCAAATGTTTAAGAGTCGAAAATGACCTTTCATTTGTAGCTGTTGACACTGGCAATGTTGCAGACATCTGAAGAAGTTTCTTCAAATTTGGAAAAATCACTGACAAGATATGCTTCCACTCCACAGGTCAAACTCTTCCATCAGTATGTCAATATCTTGAAGGTATTTGTTATAAAGTTCTGTGCTGTTGTTCAAGTTGAATTTTAAATGGCCATAATTAAAAGGGAGGAACACTTGCAGTTCCTGAACTACTTCCTTTTGCCTTGTAAACCTTTCTTAAAGCTGAGTGCAGAAAAAGTCCAGAAATGGGATGCACACATTTAGCCCATAATATTTCACTGGTGTTGGTGAAATTGTCTGGATGTTGCTTTTGCAAGTCTGCCTTGAATAGATGTGAGGAACCCTAACTTCTCAACCCATAGATTCAACCATTGAACTTGCTGTGTCAAAGATCTCCTGAAATTCTTTCACAGATTCTGTGCACATCTCCCTGGCATTTTAGGAGACTGTCGACATGCTGCAGACTACAGAAAGTGTCCATATCTCCTCTTTGTAATGTTTGCTAAGATGAAGGGATGGTGACAGAAGCTTTCTTAGAATGTGTAGGGTTATTACAAATTCAGCATCCAGAACAACTAAAAAAAGTATCCAGCTTGAGAAGTCTCACTCTTATATAGAGAACTCTCTTTTAGTTCTTCAAGTGTTCTCACCACCACACTGTAAAGTTCTACAAAAAGTAAAACTACATCAGGTTGTTTGCTCTTGATTCAGGGAAACAATCTTTTATATTTTTCTTCATTCCAGCCTGATGGATGATACTCTGAAGAAATTGCACACATATGATTTTTTCCTTGGCAATTACTGACAGGTGGATTGCTGCAAGTCTTTACTGAGACTAGATTTAGTGATTGAGCACTGCAATGGATGCAGTCAGTCACTGGATATTTTGGCAACAAAATTGCCTGTGCTCCACTAATACGCATGACTACTGGAATTAGCAGCTCCATCATAACCCTGTCCACACAAATACTGAAACTTCAACCCAATTTTTCCAGTGTTTTCAAAATAATACCTGAAAGTTCTCTTCCTGTCATATGCTTTGCATCTTTCAACATCCATCAATCAACCAAGCTTCTGATGACCACCTTTACCCCCAACTTCTTCTCCAAACACACACAGTACTTACAGAGTGTACCTTGTACATGAAATGAGTAAGCTAATCAGAGGAATCTGTTTAACCATTTGGGTTGAAAACTTAGATGCCTCTTCGTATCAACAGGAAATACATATCCTGACAATGGAGTCCATGGATTTTGCACCAATAGAGCTTTCACTTGGCCATCAGTACACTCATATAAAGTCAAGATCTAACAATGACACAGCTTCGCATAGACTTAGCATGGGGATTTGGTTAACCAGTTAAAATTCATCAGTAAACCAGGTTTGAATTGTTTTAGTCTCAGGGCCTATCTTTAAGATTATTAATATAGAATTATAATGCTTCGAGGCATGAAACACATTGTTTTGGTACTTAGTATGACAATTTACATATTCCTAGTATGTCTCCCTAATATAGTAAATAAGTTAATGCGACAAAGAATACCGAGCTCCCCACAAAGTGTTTTGAGCTTCATATATTTTAAAGTTATGAATTAATAATTTAACAATATCCTACAAGCTCTATTTCAGTACTCATGAATTCTGACATAGGTGAGATGGAGGGAACAGAAGTTCTTGTCAACATTTTAAATGTAAAACTATTTAAATAATGCTTCAGGAATAATATAAATATACCATTATATCATAAAACTGATTACCAGTTTAATTCACTATTAGAACATGCTCTGTATTCATAACCCTTTGTGTCATTAGAAACTGGAGAAAAGGGGATATGAAAGAAAAAAATCAGACATATATTTTGCAGAGCTGAAAGTTCAGTGGCAAAGAATGGAAATGATTAAAATAACTGCTAAGATTATTAAAGTTCAATAAAACAATATTTTTGACAAACACAGTTGGCTTTGGGAAGTTTTAATTTGTTTGAGCACAATCATTCCTGTTCTAAAGAAAATAATCTCGTAGATGCCGCCAATTTACAGAAGAAAAAATGAGTCATGGATTTTCATTAATAAATTGTGAATTATCATAAATAAACTCCAATGACAAAAACTAATCTTTTCGGGAGTTTATAAGATAACTTACAAAAATGTTTTCATTCTCTAAATCCTCCCATTTACATAAGGATCAGTATTTAAGAGAAGATGGAAAATATTTGTCATGTATTTCCACCGTGGGAAAGATGCAAATAGTATCATTTGGGGATTTATTCCAGAAAAAGAAAAAGGAGAAAGGAACTCCCCAAATATGTAGATGACGTCAAGAGGAGACTTCTTAAAAATAATGTGTAGCGTAGATTATGACTCACCACTAACAATGCAAATAAAATGACTCCACAGCTCCAGACATCTGCTTTTCTCCCATCATATTTTTCTCCCTGTGTAACATGGAAGTAGGAAATGTCACTGAGGATTGTTAGAGAAACAACACATTCGGGTGTCCTAGAATCTTGACAGAAAGGAACAATAAAAAAGTTCTTGTCCTCCCAATACATAGACAATACATTATACAAATCCCAAATGCTAGACCAAACATTGCATGTTATTTTTTGAAAGTTCTAAGCACAATAGAAAATGTGGAATACCTAAACTGAATCTATGTATGACATGTGCTGTCACAGTGGGTCTCCACAAAGCTGGTCCTTCTGTCCCCTTCTCCTCTGTGCATGTCTATGAGTCCCTTAAACCTAGTTGAGAATAAAAGGTGTATGTGGAAGAAGAATATACCTCTCATTCCTGAGAATGGCTCAGATATTTTTGTGTGCATGGTGCACAGAAAGGTGGGTAGGGCCTGAGAAAGTTCTCAAAAATCCTCCATTGATCCTTTAGAACTGGCACAGAATCTAGAAAAGTAGTGAGCAACTGTGCAGGATATTGAGACCATTTTTTCTGTGTTCACTTGGCAAGTTGCCCTGGTGAGTTTCACTGTTCTAGAAGTAAGGTAAGCATCACTTCCAGATAACATTTGGGCTGATTTTCAGTCATTTTTTTTGCTGCTGCTGTTCTTCTTCTTCTTCTTCTTCTTCTTCTTGTTGTTGTTGTTAAAAGGAAATTAAAATAATGAAGAAGGGATAGGTAACACAGTAAGTAATGTAATGACTTTACTATTTCCTGCAGTGATATTGGCAATAAGTTACATTTTTGAGTTGTACAGTAAGCTACATAGCAAATTATTTTCAAAACATATGTTTCCAAAAATAACTTTTTGGCTGTGAAACAAGGAATGATCCAAGGAACTCTGAGAATAATTGAGTTGACATCAGTTGTTAGTTCCAACTAGAGTAGAAATAACAAATGACAGGTTTATTAAGTCAATACTTAAGTAAACCCCACTGACTGAATGAGTGTATGCTATCTGGCACTGTCAATCAGATTTATCTTATGATCTAAGGATTGCAGATATACTGGAGTAGGGTGGGGTAAAGGACTCCTTCCAGATCTGAAACATTATATGGCCTTGAAGGTTCAAGGCCCCTGACATGAAGGAAAAACCAAGGATTTCTGTCAAATCATAACGTCAACAATGAATTACTAATATAAATCATATCCCCAGTATTAATGACAGTATACTGCAGAACCAATTGTTAAATTCTAAGTAAAGGCTTATACAAATCTCTCTAGTTCTATAAGTCTACTCTCTAACTAAGAATGTTTGGACTGGCACACTGAAGTTATGAAGCTTAGCATCACAATTGTTCACTGGGTTCCTTGATGGAATACAGTAGTCTTTGGGTTACAAGCCAGTAGTGGCTGCAAATGCATATCATAAAGGAAGGAAACAACCACCTCTTTGCTTCAGCGGCACCAGTGTGTTCAGCAGTGCATCAAATGCTGTACATGAAATCACTTTTTTTCCCAAAGATGAAAGTGGGAAGATAAAATGAGATTCCAAAAAGACACGGGAAAAGAGATAAAGCTAATTGCTATGGAGCCTTAAATTGCTAGTACTCTTCAGGGTATTACTATGAAGGCCTTTTTACTTGGAGGCATCTAGTGTTCTCCCCTAATAATAAAAGAAGTCAATGGTTTGATGTTTTATAAGGTTTTTAAAATAAGAATTTCAAGCTCACTTACCCTGATTACTTCTGGACAGGCATAATGTGGTGACCTGAAAGTCAAAACAAGGACCAGTGAGTACAGGATTCTTTCTTGTTTACATTTATTATCTCCATGGTCTTTCAGAGACAACTGTGCTAGTAGATCAATTGCAGGAAATTCTAGAAAACATCCAGACAACTACTAGGTTGAGGAATTACAATTTCACCACAGTTACAAGTGTGGTGTGAAAAAGTTGACTAGTGGAAGGGAGATAAATGGGGCATTTTTTTCCTGAGGCTACCACCATGTTTTGCATAAGGACTAAACCAGCATATCAAGGTTAAACTTCTATGACATCAGTCTGCTCATTATCTTCTTCTGTGTCCATCTGCCCAAGGTGCTTGCCTCTCCTTGGGTCAAGTGTCTCACAGATACAGAATCAATGCTGCCACTATGATATGTAAGCATCAAGATATTTCTTTTTTGCTATTTATCTTCCAATAATAGACTATATCCTAATCATGGAGAAGAGTGAACACTTGTTTTAAGTAAGCTGAATTCATATTCCTGAAAGATATTGTACAGTCATCTCTAAATAAAAATCTTTTCTTTCCTTTTTTTTTAAAATCAATCATACTATATTGAGGATCTGTGATTTCTACATATAGTCCATTGCAGAAGGTTTTAAAAGTTGAACAGCAGCAACAACCCCCACCAATATAACATGTGCTTAGACCACTGTATGCTGCTGTGTTCCCTACTTAGCAACTAATTGAGAAACAGTTCCCTGAAATCAATTATTTGTCCCAACCTCCCACACAATGATTTAATATCCTAGAAATTATACAGCACCAGCCTTTTGCTTTAAATCCTTCTTTAGAAGCAGCTTGATAAAGCATGAGGGACTGAAACAAATGCAATAATGTATGCAAATCTCAAACAACACTCATTTTCTACCATCACGTGGCTGATTGGCAGGACATGGTTATTGTTCACATATGCTTGAATGACAAAATACTCAGTGTTTAATGAATACTTCATAGCAGTATATTTGTATTTCTGTACTATAATTTTGATTTGACTCACTGGGATGTTACTGATACATATGTATAATGCCCCACTATGAATGGAACAAACATGAATAAATTATGTGATTATTCTTATTTCCTCATGGCTACATTCATGATACAGATAGAAAGATGTGTGGACAGCAAGCTTGTGCACAACACATGAATGCAACATATTTGTGATCAAGAATTGGATGTGTAACTACATTGGCCAAACACAAGAAAGCACACACTGTATTGACGAAGGCTTTCATGGCTGGAATCTCTAGGTTCTTGTGGGTTTTTTCGGGCTATAGGGTCATGTTCTAGAGGCATTTCTCCTGACGTTTCGCCTGCANTGGACACATTCCAGCTTGTCAATATCTCTCTTCTGTTGTGGTGCCCAGAATTGGACACAATATTCCAGGTGTAGTCTAACCAAAGCAGAATAGAGGGGTAGAATTACTTCCCTAGATCTAGACACTTGTTCTTCACTTGTTTCCTAAATTCCAACAGCTGATTTAGCTGTCGGAACTCTACTGGTAGGTCATTCAACAGTAGTGAGGTGGCTGATGAAAAGGTCTTCTAGGTGCTGGTTGCCACATACTCACCCTTCCACTTTTAATAACTCTCTTCTAAATCAAAAACCTGATAGTAGAAGTTTGTCCCGAACTTTGCTATAAAAAATCATAAATAAGTCCCAGTCTTTCTTAAAATTTCTCAAGGAATCCTCAGTTTGTCCACCTCAGCTAATTCACAAGTCTTTGTAAGCCATTCTTCTTGCATCAAGACAGCTGATTCTTTCCATCTCTGGGCATAGATGATTCTCGCTGTAGTGATCATATATAGTAGTAATTTCCCATGTTTCCTTCCTAGTTGATCATCCAGCATCCCTAACAAGTAAAACTCTAGATTCATTATAGTTTGACAAGTTCTTTTAATATTATATGTATTTGAGTCTAGTATTTCTGGGCTTTTTTGCAAGACCACCACAAACGATAAAATGTTTCAACACTTTCATCACATTTCCAACATTAACTGGAACTTCTTTCATACATCTTAGAAACTATCTCTGGCGTCAAGTACTACTATACATCATCTTATAAAAGTTTTCTTTCAAATCATTATCAAAGTAAATGACAAACTCTTTGTCCAGACCTTCTCTCATTATTTTAATTGAGTTAATATGTCTACCGTATATTTTATGCCCATTTGACCACACTCACAATTGTGCCTATGTGATCTAAAGCAGCCCACAATAATTTCCCACAGATAAGAAAATAATACACTGCAGGGGAGAGAGAAATAATTCACCTGATGAGCTATTTGAAGCTGAGCTCAGCTGCAGTATGAAAGCTTTTGATAACTTTTTTAAAAAAATGTTTTTAATTAGTGTAAAGATGGTTTCCAAACTGTATTTGTTAAAAATTAAATACAATCAAAATCTCTATTTAAATGGGAAAAAACCCAGTATAGTAACATTGTTAATATTAATTATAATATTAAAGGATTACTAAAATGGCACTGACTGCATATAATTTTTTAAAAATAAACCTTGTATTGTAACACAGACTTATAGTAATGATATGTTTTTAATTAAAAATCCAATTAAAAATGAGTGTGATAAAAAGTTAACACAAGTAGTCCTCCACCAGTTTTTTTTCCTTTACAACAGACTGACATCATGACTCCTTGGTGCTGTAGGCTATGTTTCAGAGGAAGAAACTGGCAACACCACATATGAATATCTCTTGGCTGAGAAAATCCTAGGATCACCATATATCGACAGGCAACCTAGACATGCACAGACTAGAATGGAAGAAAAAACCCTTTCTCATTGGTAACCTTGTTGTAATAGATATGGATGAGTTTGGGCCCAAGGTCTGTGTTGCTGTGAAATTTATAGGCGAGGTCACTTCTGTTTGTCCAAGATCACTGCCCCAAATTATAAAAGATGCTAGAAATTGGGTGGCACTCAGTGGCAAGAAACCCTTTTCCTTCTTTGTCACCTGTTGAATCCACAGCTATAGGATGTTGGCAGACAGAAGTGATGTCAATTGGGTAAACATATTATATGTCCGAATCCCCACAGGTCAATGTATTTTTGGCTAGAGCTCATTCTGCTACCTGCTGGAGATGCTCTAGTTGGAAATTCTGCATTGAGCAGAAGGTTTGACTCTCTGGTCCATGAAACTTTATGACTCTATATGTCTATAACTATGGTAAATAATGGAGCATTTACCAAAGAGGCATGAGATTAATATGTCTTAGCCTTTGCCACTCCATGAACTCTGAACTACTGACACTGAATTTGAGAACTGGTCCAAAAACATCTGACATGCAGGGCATTCAGAACTGATAGATTATTGGCACGTGTCAATAAAAACGTATTGAGGAAATAGAATTATGGACTCTGCTGCAATAGTAGGAAACTTGATATACTGAACTATCTAGTTATTTCCAGAATGGTTGGGGGTTCTGGGAGTTGTGGTGCAAATATTTCCAAGTTCTTTTTCTTCAAGTTTGCATAAACATGAAAACCCAGCAGGTATCTGGTTCTCCTAGAAATATAATCTCTCTGGAGGAGATGATCATGACCCCTCATTCATCAAATTATGATGCGTTGCTTTGTTTTTGTTTGTGCTGGACCCATTGCTGAAAGTCTCATGCTTTTCCTGGCCATATGCCTGTTGCTGGAATGAGGCTGTGGTGGTAGTGGCCAGCATAAAGAATCACAAATAAAAAATATATCATATATCATGTTCTTTCAACACTGCTTACTGTTCTTGCTTCAACAGCCTGGCACTTTAATTTGCTCTGCATCCAGATTTGAGGCAGATCTCTCCCCCCCCCCCCGCCCCCTTTCTTTCTTTCTTTCTTTCTTTCTGCCAATCTAGCAGTTCGAAAACATGCAAATGTGAATAGATCAACAGATACCATCCCGGTGGGAAGGTAACGGCGCTCCATGCAGTCATGCCAGCCACATGACCTTGGAGGTGTCTGCGGACATCGGTGGCTCTTTGGCTTAGAAATGGAGATGAGCACCACACCCCAGACCTTTACCTTACCTTCTCTGTCTATCTATGGACGTTTCCACATGGCCGTTATAATTCATTTAGATGCTGTCTCAAGTTCACGGTGTCTACAAAACATCCACCCTCAATGTGCACTGCAGCACACATTAAATCTGAAACAGTGTATTAAAAATCACCAGCAGTTCCAGGATAGGCCACAAAATCTGCTGCAGCTGATCAGTATATATCCCATCCAGAGTTGGAATCCGAGACTGAAAAATGCAGAGTACTCATCAGGACAGGGCTAGCACTGAGGCATTTGAAAAACCACCTGGTCAGCTTTAGACTAACTGCACCCCCTAACCTCTGCAGAGGTGGAGGACCCATTAAGTTGGTCCGCCCCAGGAGGCTTATGGATCCGGATGGATTCCTGATGGCTCTTGGGGAATTTCCCGCCGCCTCGGTTGGTGATCCTGTCGATGCCCTGGTCGCTCTCTGGAATGGGGAGATGGCTAGAGCAATAGACACGATCGCTCCAGAACGTCCCCTCTCAAGTAGCCGAGCTAAACCAGCTCCTAGGTTCACTGAGGAGCTGGCAGCGTTGAAGCGAAAGAAGAGGGAACTAGAGAGCGTGTGGCGTTCGAATCCGAGCGAGCCAAATCGAACACGGTTTGTGTCCTTTTTAAGGGCATATGCCGCGGCAATAAAAGCCGCAAAGAAAACTTTCTTTGCGGCCACTATTGCGTCTGCAAAGAACCGTCCGCCGAACTGTTCCGAGTTGTCAGAGGCCTATTAAAACCCGCCACTCAGGATGGGTGCCCTGATGACTCGGCAGCTCGCTGCGAAGCTTTTGCTCGGTTCTTCGCAGACAAAGTCGCTTTGATCCGCTCTGGACTGGGTACCATATTAACGGCAGTATCTGAGGATGTAACACGAGCACCTGCTTGTCCGGTTTTGATGGATTCATTTCAATTGGTTCAATCCGAGGATGTGGACAAGGTGCTTGGAGG